ATCGAACACAGATATCTCAAATACCATGGATATGTCGAAGTGATTTCGAAGTCCCAACTACTTATTCTTTAATTTTTTTACCTTGGATATCTCAAGTCCTCAGATATCTCGAAGTTTTTTCTCAGTCCTACTGAGTTTGAGATAATGAGGCTTGACTGTAGTTAATTTTATTGTCAGTTTGAAACACTATTGATTGGACTTGGGTTTACAAAAAATGTATTTGCTTGCATACACTGTAGGAATTAAATTATTTATTCAGGTCCAGTCAGGGGTGTACAGGAATTTATCCCAGGTGATTTTCCATACACCCTTTGGCCTCTGGGTGTAATGGGTGTTTGGCATAAAACCCAGGATTAATCCCCATACACCCTTGATTGAACCTGGATAACTAATATAATGTATAGGATCATAAAAGTAACTAATTGTGCACTCAACTAGAGCTAAAAAGAATGAACATTTGCCAATGAATAGCAGATGATGAATATATACATTTTAAATTTGCAAACACTTGGCTGGTTTGCTTTTAAATCCTTGATTGAATTGCCTCATTGAATGTATAAATGATTTCCCCACCTAGTGTTTAAGAGGCAAATTATACTGTACTGCCTTTTCACTACAGTCTCGAAACAGCTTTGTTACTGTTGCTTTAAAATGTTATTTCATTTTAAAGCAGTCTTAAATAAGTAAATACATAAATAATAATATCAATATGTGTATTAAGATTGGACAGAGACACCTGTACATGTAAATTGAGTGACAAGATTTATGATCAGTATAATTGTAATTTATTCCTAGAAATTATGTAATTAATGTTTCTTTTTTATTTCATTTTACAGGGACAGATGATTATGTTCTAAATGGCTTGTGTACACTGTGCTGTAAATAAAGGGAGAAAACTCTCTCAGTTTTTTTTTTGTTTGTTTTTTTTTTTTTTTTTTTTTTTACTTTACATGATAACATGAAAAATGTGTTGTCTTATTAGCAGTCAACACACTGCTGTCTTTGGAAGTCAATGAAGTGGATTTTTTATTGGAATTGTATTAAGTAGAGTAAAGCTGAAAAGATTCTTTAAAAAATTGTTTTTGGACATGTAGAGCAATGTATTGATGATAAAGATGGGGAATATACTTCATCTGAAAATCTCTTTTTCAAGGACATTTAGCAGGCAAATTTTTGGCATTATTACATGGACGTAAGCAGGCAATATTTTTCATAATTGCTAGCACTGTTGAGCCAAGCAAATATGTTAGTCTTCTTTACTGGAATAGGATGGTATGGCTTGAGAAGATACCATGCCATTTTCTATTTATCATCTGAAGGTACATATCAGAAGTTTCCTGTTTTACCTGACCTGTACAAAAAAAGTGTACATGTAAGTAATTATGCCAAGACTGCAGAATTCAGTTATTACTTTAATACATTTAAAAAAAAAATTTAACTACCTTTTCAGGGCTTTCTTGCAAGTTCGGATGTGTTGCGCAAACTTTATAACAACCTCCTTTTTACAAACATTGAATAGTTTGGAGCTTAACTGCATAGAATACAGCATATAATATAACCTGAAGTATACCGCAGAAGTCAACCAACGCTTGAATTGATAGAAAGGACTCCATTTTGTAAAAAAAAAAAAAAATTAACATGGTGTTTTCCCAGTTAACAGGAAGATGCTATTGCAACAAAACATTATGTACCACTTCGACAATAAGATGGGTGAAGGCGTGCATAATGCCTATAGCTTCAGATATTAATAAATCATATTCAATATGTGAATTAAGTATTTAAAGTAAAGTTCTCATTTTTGAAATTTATGAAATTATGATCAACAAAATTTTTCTGAGAAAAAAAAGATCTTGGAATTTTTTTTCTTTTATTAAAAAAATAAAATGGTATATGTAGGATTCGAACCCCTAAGCAATAAAAATCCGGAGTATCATAATGCTTTGTGACTAACACGCTAACCACTACGCCACACAGCTCCTGATGAATAGTATACAGTTATGGAATGGGTATGAGGGAAATAGCAAATTTATGGTTCCCCTTGGCAGGAAACTATTTCCCTCGGCGGCGAACTGTTTTATTATACCGAAACAATCATGGGAAATTTATTAAACTAGAGACTCAGACATTTTTTAAAACAATATAGAGGCATTTAAATAATCACAAATGGATGATTAAAAATATTGTAAGATAACTAATGCATCAATACAGAGGAAAATAAGATTATTAAAAATTATAAAATAATTTCACTGAAACTTGGAAGGATAATCGTTGTCTTCAATTCGCTAGAATTCCAGTATGATTTTGACATCGCATGTCGAAATGTTTTGACGTCATAGTTACATTGCTAATAACATTACGTCACAGACTCGAGAGATTCCGTGAACGCTCCGCCCACTGTTCATTTTAATTGGTTAAAATTATTAATAAATATTCATGAGGGAGTAGTCCCAGGGAGTAGCTCCGATTTTTCAGGGAGTAGTCCTCCGATGAGGGAAATAGTATCTTTTCAGGGAATAGACAGATTTATGGTATTAATTTTATATAGAGTAATAACAGTAGAGATATAATAATGACATTTAAATCTTGTTGGTGATATGACCCTTGACTTAATGGACTTAAGTATTTCTCGGAAAAATGCGAATGCTTTGTCATAAAAGTGTACTTTTAAGGTAAAGTGGGTCTTTGCTCCATGTTTTTCTAAACCAAAAAATTTTTTTATGCAAACTTTTAGGGTTAACTTCAAAAAATTGGAGCGAAGACCCACTCATATCGAAAAATTTTGTTAAAGTGTGAGAAAATGATCCTTTTTGTCCTCTTTAGTGTGTGTATGCTACTTCATAGGCAAATAATTTCAGTCTTTGTGAGATTTTTGTAAATTGTAGAGATTTTGCATAAGGTACACTTTAATGTAAGATGAACTATAAAAAAAAAAATGTTTATATAATTGAGATTTTATTTTTCACTTCATGTTTGTCGCACTATAGGCACGTTGCCCGCCTTGTTCACCCATCTTTTCATAAAAGGTGGTATGGTCCTACCGATTTCTAAAAATTGAATTTTTCACCTCAATATTGAAATTACAGTGGAAGACATTTTGCTTAAAGCACAGTGATGAAGCCCCCTCAAGACGAAATAAATTTGTGGTTCAGAAATTACCCCCCCCCCCCCGAAAAAATTCCCGGATCCGCGCCTGATATATGAAATTTAACAAGATTGATAAAATCTTGTTTAGATACATATATTAAAAGATATGTACAGAATTGATGTTTGAGTTTAAATGCCAAACAAATGTATTGAATGCTTTGTTTCCATTCTGTTGAGTATTATTGATTATTTCAGAACATGAATTCTTACTAAACGGTCTACTTTCTTTTCTCTAATTTTCGAAAATGAATGAGGCCTTTTGAGGGTACCGTAATATTTTATTATAATGTATGTGAATAAAAATACTGAGATAAAAAGTATCATAATTCAAAATAGTTTTTTTAAATTTAAAACAAATGTTAGATTATATTGTTCCGATTCATTCCTCATACTCTGAGATTAAACCATTAGCATATTGATATCTTCTTGCACACCGTTCCCTGAACCATTTTTTTCCGCATTGACGCAGTGTAGCTAGACGGGTGGTCGAACCTGAGTTTACATGCAGAGAGAATATAGTGAATTTTTAAAGGTATGCTTCTTATATTTTTTATCTTCATTTTTGATATAATTATTATTTCCAAGATGGTACTTTTTATTATTATATCGTTTAGCTATCGGTAATTTGCATTGCGTGTTGATATTCTAAGCATATCTGACTAGGTGTGTGCCAAGAGTGTCACCATCAAATTGAAAAAAAAATGTCGTAATTTACGGAATATATTCATCGTTGCTGTCATTAAATTTTCCCATTTTGCCTGGCAACAAGGTGGCTGTCAATGCTTTGAAAAGTTTATGGATTTTCACATACTATACGATGAAATATGAAGATAACATTGGAACAGTACAAATTGGGAGCAAAGCAAACACGGACCTCTATTGAAAACATCAAAGGTGGGATCAGGTGCCGATCTAAAAAAAAAAAATAGATACATCACATCACCAATCATACAGCTCTTCTATCGAATTAAAAGCTTATTTATTTTTGTTTTATATATATATATATATATATATATATATATATATATATATATATATATATATATATATATATATATATATAAAATTAATTTCTGCTGATCTAAGTTTCGGCCCTCGGGCTGATATTGCTGATATTGGAGTCTCGGATTGATAGGTACAGGTTTTGCCATGTATTATTCTATTTAATTTCATCGATTCATTGCATGCATTAAAGAAAAACCACCTGTCAAGTATTGCCTATACTATGGAATATACAACTGGGTTCCTTCGAATCGACGTAAATGAGTTAATACTTTCTAGGTATCAACATATGATAGTAAGACCTACGTCACCAAACTACAGGATGGGGTCGGGTTAAACGATATATCATATACTTCCAATCTAATTAAAATTAGACCTTTCATCTCGCTCTTCGTAAATTGATTTGTCGCTCGTGAAAGGATCCTTTCACGAGCGACAAATCAATTTACGAAGAGCGAGATGAAAGGTCTAATTTTAATTAGATTGCATATACTTCTAGTTTTTTATTTAAAAAAAATTGATATTGTGCCTAACTTTTCCGACATAGGGGATAGGCAAGCATGTATAATACTTTGCAAAGTGGGTTATTTACCCAAAATCAGTTGCTACAGTACATAATTAAAAAAGCATAAACTTCTGATGATAATATGTACATGTGAGAACCTGAAGGAAAAAGAAAAACTCGGCGCGTATATACCAATAAACAACTATAATGTTCATATGGAGTGTCCTTTCTGATAAAGTTTATTTAATAAAATAAAATCTGCGAGAAAGGAAAGTACATGTATATATACATCATTTGATTGAAAAATATTTTACAGAAAGTAACATAAGAAAAAAATTCTTTAACCAAGATGTTCAGATGCCAGAAAAAGTTCAGTAACGGCAGCATCTGTAATGGAAACCTGGCAGCAGGATTCAAGTACTGTCCCACCTGTGGCACACGTGTGCCAGAAAGCAGGCAGGGATCTGACAAATTCGAGGAGGAGAGTATACCCTACGAAGCAGACAAGTGTAAGCTATGCTTATTCTTTCTCGTTTTAGAATTAACACTCTTGTTAAGAAAATGTCCTTATAATTTGACATAGTTTCCACCAGGTAGACGATAGAAGGAAAGAAATAAACTTTTGAAGGTTTACAAATACATGTCTCATGTATGACAGATACTTCAGTTTATTAAATGATAAAATACAAAAGCTCACATCGTAAATCTACGTGTAGTGAATTCTAATTTAGACATCGGTATAGACTTCAACAATTAAATTTGATTCAAGCACTTTGTCTCCTTTGTTCATTTATTTAGCCGTTCCAGAGACCCTGAAGACAGAAATGAAAAAACAGGAAGATCCTGGTGGTGGCAAAGACAGTGAGACGCTATCAAAAGCGAACATTGATTGCACAACCCAGACAGTTAAAAAAGCATCAAAAAGTTTCACCGAAAAGAAAGATATGCAAGATGGAATGGTTAATACGGAAAATGTAACAACAAAAGAAGAAATCACTGCAGATATCTCTCAAAATATGAGAGATGATTCAAAGACAGAGAAAGACCCCAAAAAAGAATTGAAAGTAGTTCTGTACATTGACAAAAATGGCAATGAATCAATGCAGGAGATACGACAACATACAGAGACTGAGAAAAAAGATCAAAATGAAAGACCAAAAGGACAAAACCTTATAAAAGAATCTGAACTCATGACAGACATTGGTCAGAAAAAATCGACAGAACAAAGTGAGCCCCTAGATATTCCAATCCAAGATAGTGACTTTGAATGCTCTAAAGATGAGGAAAAAGTAAAAGAATCTCAAGAAACAAGAGAGAGAGGGAATAGAGGATCAACTATTGAAGAGGAATCTGCAGCTACCAACATTTTGAATTCAATGTCATCAGGAAAAGGAGCTGAAGATGACGAGAAAGGGAAAATTACTGAAAAGAAAGACGGTGAAAACAACCGAGATGGTAAGCAAAGAAACACACTGTCTGGGGGTACCAGTGACCTGTCAAACCAGGAAAAAGTAAAGGCAGATAAAGTCAACAAAAGCATCACTGGAAAAGAAGGAAATGAAAACCTCACTGGAAAAGAAGGAAAAGAAAACATCACTGGAAAAGAAGGAAAAGAAAACATCATTGGAAAAGAAGGAAATGAAAACCTCACTGGAAAAGAAGGAAAAGAAAACATCACTGGAAAAGAAGGAAAAGAAAAAATCACTGGAAAAGAAGGAAAAGAAAATGGCCAAGTTCCGAAGCAGCCAGAAAACACAGAAAAACCCGTGAAAACAGAGAAAGAATCCGAAAACCAACAAAGAAGATGCGGAGGCAGTCAAAGTACTGGACAAAATGAAAAGTGTCAACCAGAAATGGCTAAAAAGAAGGTGTGTAGCTATTGAAATACTTCTAAATTTTATTTTAGAGAATTTGGTTTCTTTCACGAATAACATTTGAACGATCTTTGACAATTTTTGTTGAACAGGTGGTAAAGGTGATATTCCATGCGTTCTTGGCACCAAACGTGACAATGAATCTTCAAAAGGACAAGATCTTTGTTGTATTTGGTCCTCCTTGTGGTGACTGGGAGACAAAAAAGGGAGAAGTTTTAAAAACGACAGAATTCCAAGTGTAAGTACATATATGTACAAGTTTATGAAAAAAATGTAAGCATTTTAAACATTTCATATTTTAGGTTTTAAACAGCCATTGTTCATATTGTTCTTTTATTCACTGTTTATTATCTATTTCATTAGTATTAAAAGCACTAGGATTTATAATGAAGTATTTCAATAATTGACTCAATTGTTCCTTCTTCATGTGAATAATGCGCATTTTAAATACATGTAGCTAGATTTCCACAATGTTAGTAGGTGAATAACTATTGAATAAATCGTAAGTAACTCACATAATAGTGATATTTTTTTTCTGAAATCCAATGTAAGTGACGAAGAATAACAATAGGTTCATATTTAAAATCATTTCTAAACGTTAATATTTAAAAAAACAATTTATAGTTTAATCTGTAATAAATTATTCTTTAAATACAGGAAAAATCATCCCATACGTCTTAAGGCAACAGCAATGATAGAAAAAGATTTATTGAAAGAACCATTGAGATACGCATACAAGTTGCAACACCAAGAAAAAAATGTCCAGGAAATCGTTACAGAATCAGAATTTTACCTTAACAGTTATGAACCTTATAAACGCAAATATCGTCTGCTGGACATTCCATTGGATGCTGTAGGTATGCACAAATAAGCGCGTGCGTTTGAGAGAGAGAGATAAAAAACAGAGAGGAGCATCAATATTTTACAGCAGATATGTCAAATTTGGAGTACAGTTTCCATTGTGCAGTATTTTGCGCAGTATTTAAGAGATGAATATAATTTTTGAGAATTCATGAGGACATGAACTACAACGCTTCACGCCTGCATATTTCATGAAGCGCGTCAGCGCTACGTGATAAATATGCAGGCGTGAAGTGTTGTAGTTCAGTTACTTCATGAATTCTCAAAAATTAAATTCATATCTTATATCTGCATTATTTTTCGGATGACTTGCTACATATTTTTGTCATTCAACAATCATTTTTTTTTTTTAAAAGTTTACACTGTTCTTTGACTTCACTCATATAATAATGGAAATATTTTTATTCATCCTACAGTAGTTCATGAGACCATGAACTTTTTCTAATTTGCAAGGAATCTTAAGGAAAAATATTTGGAAATGTAAATGTATTGAAATAAAGTATATTTACGCTTTTAAAGCAATTATTTCAACATAATTTATAAAAATGAGCAAAATCTTTAAAAAAAAAATCGGGAGCAAAAAAAAATCTTCATTTAAAAAGAAAATGGATTTTTGAATGATATATCAAGTGATAGATAGATAGATGTCATAATTTTGTGTTTGTGACGTTAGGATAAACTGATATTCCTTAAGACGGGATCAGAGAAAGCGTTATAAAATTTAAAAAAAGGTATAAAATTCAGCCATTGAAATTTTAGACACAAAAGTTTTGAGATCTTACATTTATCTATGGTTAGTTTCTTAATAAATTCCTAGTATCTGTTAGTTTTTGTAGTACTTAAAAACAGGAATTTTTTTTTAAAAAAATTTGAGATTACTCCTCTGGAAACCATGCAGACGATAGGATTTTATGTTTTCTTAAATTTAATGCACAGTATAGTATTACTTATTACATACAATTTGAGCAAAAAGTCTATTGTAGTCTAACTATAATTTGTTTTGAAGTGCGAAAAACACCTAAAATACCGAGATGGTAGATTTTCCTGAAACTTTGTATATAAACTGAGGTCAATATATACTAGACATTGTATATTTTTTTTAAAAAGTCGACTCTCTTAAAGCATCGAACATGAAAGCTAACATTCAATTTTGATTTTACATGACTTTTTTTCAGGCGAATGGAATCAATATGACGGGTGCATTTATGCCGCTAAAAGGGGGATATTATTCAGTATCAGAGAAATGGTTACTGGAAATTTTCAGGATGTAATGCTGAACGACGGCAAATATATTCTGCACAGATATTTGCAAAATGTTACCGAGTGTCTTAAAGCAGGAAAGCAGCTGAATGAATTGCAAAATATATTCAGAAGTGTAAATCATGGTGGAATAAAAGATCAATTTTTGAAAAATCCCAAAACGCCGGACGTTAGTCTTTTCAAACAGGTATCATTTTCTGTCATTTTGACCACGTTGTTTTTATAGATACATGTAAGTTATTGCCTTTCAAAATCTTAAAATCGCAGGAAGCAAAGACCGCGTATTTTTTAATCGTACTCTCAAAGTTATACATGTAGATTGCAGCAATGTAGTATACCCATTTGATTTTTAAAGGAATTATGGGATCACCTTAAAATTGTTACCGAGGTACTAGAGGATACAAAAGGAAAAGATATGGGTCTGGCACTCTTAACTTCTATTATGATCATAGACCTCATAAAAGATTTGGATATTCCTTTTGAAATAATTGATGATCTCCATGTTAAATCCCTACAAAAGTGTTTAGTGCTGAGACCAGATACTGACCACCAAGCTTGTGAGCAGCTGGAATACCTTGAGAAACATTTGCCAAATGACTCGAGACAGTAAGGGGTGTAGTTTCATGAATGTGCACTTTTATCATAATTGTTCTCTCATCTTACAATTGTATGTACTGAAAGTACATTATAATTTAGCAAATGTACATGTAGCAACGTAAAAGCTGAGAGCAGATAAGTTAAGTTTAAATATGATATTTTACAGGAAAGCCAAATCGTCCATCGTGACGTTTTTGAAAAGAACAATGTTTTTGCGAAGTCATGTTGACCCGACCTGGTTAGCTTGCATGCCATTAGTTCACTTCCTAGAGGGCAACTTGCAGCCATTCGTTCCATTGGATCTACGCCAGTTTGAAATAACTGAAACAAAGCATGACGAATGGTGGTGCTTTTCAGAATTTGATAAGGAAAAAAACGAAATGAAACGGAATCGTTGGACAATGTAAGTCTTCAGAAAGGATGTCCATCCCTTACATAGGAACAATGACTCTCGAGGTTGTCACTTATCTTAAGAAGACTCAAAATGAAGCTTAGAAAGCTTGAAATACTTTTTTTTCAACAATTTCCATTTCATGTTTTTTAATATGAATTAAGGGAATTTGAAGTCTTTGTACCAGTCCTGTAATTTCTTGATTTATGCATTCTAAAGCGGACAGTAATGACATTTTAGAGACAAAAAAAATCGCCTCATTTGCCATTGCTTATTAGCATATTTAAATTAAATATAAAGTGATCTGTGATATCTCTCAATGATACATGTGTATCTGTTAATGTATCATCTACAAATTGAAGTTGAAGTCTTAAATAGCACATAAGTATGAAAAACATGCAAAGTATTTTTGAATGCCTTGATACTCATTAATTTTTTTTATCTGAAATATATTTGTTAAAAGATGTAAACATGAAAATATATAATTTATTTTTTTCTTCACATTTTCTTCAAACAAATATATATAAGATTTTCAATTTTCTGCTTATGTTATAACTGTAATGATGAACTCAATAACTTAACTGCTGATTTTAGAATAGAGACAAATGTTTTGTAAAAAAAAAAAAAAGAAGAAAACCTAAGAACGGTGAAAGTTTCAATTTTATTCATAATTATATCACTATTTTAATACAATGAACATATTTTAGATCTTGTGAAGAGTTTGTCAAAATGCATAGACCTTTATTCCAATTGGACTCCACCTTACAGAAGACTTTCATGTCTGCACTAGACATAGCCCAAGTTCCCGAAGTCATACCAATTTCTCAGATTCAGCTTGAAATCAAATTGGCAACTATTGAACATTACTTCGAAAATTCCTCTGAAGTACATGTAAGTAAACGTGAATGCCACATTATTCTGGATTCATGTAATTAATGTTTTTCATCATCGAATACTAAAATCGGTACTCGGTTACTCGGATGTATATTTTTTTCATATTTCAAAGTGCATGTTTTTATTAAAAAATGTGATTTAAATATTTATTGTCCATGCCTATACAGTAATTAGCGTTACCTACACCAGTTAATACCCGTTATCGCCTTTGGCTGTGTACAGTACATGTGTATAAAGTAATGACCGTGACCAATCACTGGACATCATTCTCACCTCTTGTGACCCTAATTTTTGAATGGCTTTAATTATTTGTTTTCAATGAACATCTTTTAATTATGATCTATTAATTATCCTTAGATTAATTAATTAGCATACGGTAGCGAAATCGGACATACATAGAAAATATCAGCGTATACGAGGTGAAACAACCATATATTTAAGGAATCGCTGTCTAGTTTGTTGGGTATGCTAGAGCATCAACGGCAGTTGGAAATTTGGAATAATTTATGCATAACGGGTGAAGTTGTAAATATCGAGAAATCAACATAATTAACTTTCAGAGTTATCAAGAGAAAACTTGTAAATAACATACATGTACGATTCGCGATCACGACAACGTCCATTCCCAAAAATATTCTCTTTCACTAGTCTGATCATTACAAAGTTGCGTCCTTCTCTTCCGTTGATCAAATTGTCTTCATAAAAAGAACTGTAAATCATTTGTAATTGTTGGTGTAATAACTGATCATGTCTTTTGTGTTTGCTTGATACAAAAACTAAGTACCAAAATAAATCGTTTTCGTTGGGCTCGATGTTTATGTACATGTATGCATAATAAACGAAAGAAAACATCGATGGGGTAAACAGGTCTCAATAACATCAACAGACATTTCATGTATACCGCTTTTTCCGAGTACCCGGGTACTCGATCGGAAAATCGTCCGAGTAACCGATTATCAAATATTGACCGATTTGACATCCCTAATATATATATATATATATATATATATATATATATATATATATATATATATATATATATATATATATATATATATATATATATATATATATATATTATATAAGGAATCATTTTTAAACATCTATCGGGATATAAATACGGGTTGGTCACGTGATCAAATTCCATAGGCTTTATGGTAAATTTGATCTCGTACCGAACAGTATTTATATCCCTATAGATGTTTAAAAATGATACTTCTTACCTATATTTACATTTGTGACTTATTCATATTTTATATTTGCCTTTTATAATTTTTCACGTGTGAAGTATTTTATTTTTCAAACTCAACGGCACGTTTTAAATCCATTGATTGCGCGTCAACCCTTTATGACGTCACTGAGAAATTACGTCGAACGTTTATGACGTGAGGAACCCGTGTTTATACGGATATAGATACACATTGCTTTCAATAGTGTCATATAAGGGGAAGCATTTGCAAATGTAAATATTCTCTTATACAAAATTATTGGTGTTCTTTTTCTGATTTAAATCAGGCTTTTATGAATCGTTTTTATTCTTCGTAACATTAATTAAAGAAATATTTACTCCATAATTTTTAGATTAAAAAGAAGTTTAGTAACAAATAGACATTTAGTTATATAATTGCTGATCTGTGATTAATTTTTAGGATGACAAGTTATATAAATCTATAAAGAAGCACATGTTATTGTATTGTGCTCACAAGTGACTGAAGAAATTACACCGAGTTTCGTATATTATGTTAGGAAATTGGAAAAGACTTATTACCCAATTTACAATTTAAAAAAAAAAAACTTTTTAAATGTGAGCTCTCTGTTATTGCGCATTTTGATCAAATGTATTTCGTTTGCATCTAAATAAGAAGAGGGGGCATTTTAATTGATAATCTAAAACTAAGTACCAAAATAAATCGTTTTCGTTGGGCTCGATGTTTATGTACATGTATGCATAATAAACGAAAGAAAACATCGATGGGGTAAACAGGTCTCAATAACATCAACAGACATTTCATGTATACCGCTTTTTCCGAGTACCCGGGTACTCGATCGGAAAATCGTCCGAGTAACCGATTATCAAATATTGACCGATTTGACATCCCTAATATATATATATATATATATATATATATATATATATATATATATATATATATATATATATATATATATATATATATATTATATAAGGAATCATTTTTAAACATCTATCGGGATATAAATACGGGTTGGTCACGTGATCAAATTCCATAGGCTTTATGGTAAATTTGATCTCGTACCGAACAGTATTTATATCCCTATAGATGTTTAAAAATGATACTTCTTACCTATATTTACATTTGTGACTTATTCATATTTTATATTTGCCTTTTATAATTTTTCACGTGTGAAGTATTTTATTTTTCAAACTCAACGGCACGTTTTAAATCCATTGATTGCGCGTCAACCCTTTATGACGTCACTGAGAAATTACGTCGAACGTTTATGACGTGAGGAACCCGTGTTTATACGGATATAGATACACATTGCTTTCAATAGTGTCATATAAGGGGAAGCATTTGCAAATGTAAATATTCTCTTATACAAAATTATTGGTGTTCTTTTTCTGATTTAAATCAGGCTTTTATGAATCGTTTTTATTCTTCGTAACATTAATTAAAGAAATATTTACTCCATAATTTTTAGATTAAAAAGAAGTTTAGTAACAAATAGACATTTAGTTATATAATTGCTGATCTGTGATTAATTTTTAGGATGACAAGTTATATAAATCTATAAAGAAGCACATGTTATTGTATTGTGCTCACAAGTGACTGAAGAAATTACACCGAGTTTCGTATATTATGTTAGGAAATTGGAAAAGACTTATTACCCAATTTACAATTTTAAAAAAAAAACTTTTTAAATGTGAGCTCTCTGTTATTGCGCATTTTGATCAAATGTATTTCGTTTGCATCTAAATAAGAAGAGGGGGCATTTTAATTGATAATCTAAAACTAAGTACCAAAATAAATCGTTTTCGTTGGGCTCGATGTTTATGTACATGTATGCATAATAAACGAAAGAAAACATCGATGGGGTAAACAGGTCTCAATAACATCAACAGACATTTCATGTATACCGCTTTTTCCGAGTACCCGGGTACTCGATCGGAAAATCGTCCGAGTAACCGATTATCAAATATTGACCGATTTGACATCCCTAATATATATATATATATATATATATATATATATATATATATATATATATATATATATATATATATATATATATATATATATATATATATATATATATATATATATATTATATAAGGAATCATTTTTAAACATCTATCGGGATATAAATACGGGTTGGTCACGTGATCAAATTCCATAGGCTTTATGGTAAATTTGATCTCGTACCGAACAGTATTTATATCCCTATAGATGTTTAAAAATGATACTTCTTACCTATATTTACATTTGTGACTTATTCATATTTTATATTTGCCTTTTATAATTTTTCACGTGTGAAGTATTTTATTTTTCAAACTCAACGGCACGTTTTAAATCCATTGATTGCGCGTCAACCCTTTATGACGTCACTGAGAAATTACGTCGAACGTTTATGACGTGAGGAACCCGTGTTTATACGGATATAGATACACATTGCTTTCAATAGTGTCATATAAGGGGAAGCATTTGCAAATGTAAATATTCTCTTATACAAAATTATTGGTGTTCTTTTTCTGATTTAAATCAGGCTTTTATGAATCGTTTTTATTCTTCGTAACATTAATTAAAGAAATATTTACTCCATAATTTTTAGATTAAAAAGAAGTTTAGTAACAAATAGACATTTAGTTATATAATTGCTGATCTGTGATTAATTTTTAGGATGACAAGTTATATAAATCTATAAAGAAGCACATGTTATTGTATTGTGCTCACAAGTGACTGAAGAAATTACACCGAGTTTCGTATATTATGTTAGGAAATTGGAAAAGACTTATTACCCAATTTACAATTTAAAAAAAAAAAACTTTTTAAATGTGAGCTCTCTGTTATTGCGCATTTTGATCAAATGTATTTCGTTTGCATCTAAATAAGAAGAGGGGGCATTTTAATTGATAATCTAAAACTAAGTACCAAAATAAATCGTTTTCGTTGGGCTCGATGTTTATGTACATGTATGCATAATAAACGAAAGAAAACATCGATGGGGTAAACAGGTCTCAATAACATCAACAGACATTTCATGTATACCGCTTTTTCCGAGTACCCGGGTACTCGATCGGAAAATCGTCCGAGTAACCGATTATCAAATATTGACCGATTTGACATCCCTAATATATATATATATATATATATATATATATATATATATATATATATATATATATATATATATATATATATATATATATATATATATTATATAAGGAATCATTTTTAAACATCTATCGGGATATAAATACGGGTTGGTCACGTGATCAAATTCCATAGGCTTTATGGTAAATTTGATCTCGTACCGAACAGTATTTATATCCCTATAGATGTTTAAAAATGATACTTCTTACCTATATTTACATTTGTGACTTATTCATATTTTATATTTGCCTTTTATAATTTTTAACGTGTGAAGTATTTTATTTTTCAAACTCAACGGCACGTTTTAAATCCATTGATTGCGCGTCAACCCTTTATGACGTCACTGAGAAATTACGTCGAACGTTTATGACGTGAGGAACCCGTGTTTATACGGATATAGATACACATTGCTTTCAATAGTGTCATATAAGGGGAAGCATTTGCAAATGTAAATATTCTCTTATACAAAATTATTGGTGTTCTTTTTCTGATTTAAATCAGGCTTTTATGAATCGTTTTTATTCTTCGTAACATTAATTAAAGAAATATTTACTCCATAATTTTTAGATTAAAAAGAAGTTTAGTAACAAATAGACATTTAGTTATATAATTGCTGATCTGTGATTAATTTTTAGGATGACAAGTTATATAAATCTATAAAGAAGCACATGTTATTGTATTGTGCTCACAAGTGACTGAAGAAATTACACCGAGTTTCGTATATTATGTTAGGAAATTGGAAAAGACTTATTACCCAATTTACAATTTTAAAAAAAAAACTTTTTAAATGTGAGCTCTCTGTTATTGAGCATTTTGATCAAATGTATTTCGTTTGCATCTAAATAAGAAGAGGGGGCATTTTAATTGATAATCAAGTTGTACATGAACTAATGTGTAGCAATAAGCACTTTAATTTCAAACTAAAGGCGTTCCTTTTAAATTATTCAATGGCACCCAACTCGACGTGTGACCTTTGAACAGTCGATTTCAGACAACTGACATACCAAGTGTCTGCCTGCTTTATGTTGCATTCCTTTGTGAAAATAGCACATGCAGATTTTTTTTAACAACTTACTTATTTGATAAACTAAGTAAACTATTGTTAAGACATTATAATGTAGATTTATTATATTCAAAAATTTTAATGTTTGTGTAGAATTATATCTGCCAGGTATATAAAATCTTCTGGATCTGTTCCCTAAAAATTTGTTCGCATTTTTTCTATGCAGCAGCCGGCACGTATATTTCGTGCACAATTTTTCCAGTTTGTCGAATAATGAATATATGCAAGAAAAGTTGCATGTTTGTCGCTAAAAGTAAATTTTAAGCATTGACTATATATAAATCATTTTATTCATCAAGAAGTGAATCTAAAAACGAAATTATTTGAAGTCAACGATTCATAATACTATCATATGCATTTCATACAATGAAGCACACACTAAGCAGACAATTTGTACCTCCACTGTTGGACGTTTGTTAGTCAACAACGACACATGTTTCAGTTAAAATTTGTCAGCATTTTAAAAACAAAATTATAATACCCAAATACATTCAAATCTAGCTGAATACTACATTCTAAACAGGCATATTTAAGGACTGTTTTAAGTTACCGATCCAGTTGAATTTGACGTAGGAGATTGCAGTATAATTTTAATGAAAATGAGCACCGTTTTTCTATTTATTGGTTGCGTAAGTAATGTTGAAGTACTGAAGTACTCTAAATGATCTGGATATAACTTTTTGCTTTTTGAAAGAATTAAACAAATTATTATTACAGATTTATGTTTCATTAGCAAAGGGGTGGTACTTTTTAAAACGTAGCTATTTATTACATGTACATGTGATCTACCTTTAAATTTTGTATTTTGTCCATCAAAGACTCGTGACCTTCAGGAGGGTATGAACAAAGTGTATGCGATATTAGTGAAGAAATTGACCTGTCTTCCAAAGGATACACCGCAGAGGTAAGGTATAATATTTGTGCATTTTAATGTATACTGTTTCCGTGTTTGGCCATTTAGCTATATACTGAAAAAAACATTATAGAAGCAAGGAATTGTATTAAATTTAATACAACATATACAAGGTGCGACGAAAGCTTAACTGAAAGTTATTTTAATATTTGTAAATGAAGATATTAATACCATATCTGCATGCGTTATCTATTATGGAATTGCTTGTTTAACGTTTGTGTAAAAATTTTATAATATTTCTTACGTGTTTGCCGTCGGTTTATATCACATTATTGTGTACAAATAATTAAGTACCCTTTGTTAAAAGGGATAGAGAAGCTTGTCTATTTTCTTCTTTTATGCTATCTAAGAAATATTTTGATTTATGTAGAATAAGCCAAAATAATTAATTAATGTTAGTATATTTTTCATTTTTTAAATAGAACATGGTCTGAAATTGACGTAAAACATAAAATACATAACAATCAGCTGACTGCTATTTTGAATCACGTACTACAAAGATTGCGAAACGATTGGAAACTCGTTTTGACCTGCTTCCATTGTTCACTACTGTCCTTAGCCATTTTAGACAAAATTACTGCAGTGTGTGAAGATCTGGAATCTTTACCAATTCTGATAGCTACTTTGCTCAATGAGTTTTGTGGAAGTCGAGATGTAGATCTTCAGGTTACGAAACAATTTACAAAGTTTTCCCATGGTTTATTGATATACAATCATGAAATAGATTCCATCTAATTACATGTAACGATTAATACTTTGACAGTACAATTTCTAAAGTTCTTTTTTTAATTCGATGCTCAAAGGACCTAAAATTTTATTTTACTGCTGCTTTATTTGTTTTGATGTAATCAGAATTCCATAAAAATTAAAGCGTTGTGTGAAAACGCTAGAAAAAAATCTTTCTAACAAAAAGTGCTTTGTGTTTACAGATGGGAGATTATGCTTTGTCAATAAGAGCACATTTTCCTTTTGACCATCTTCCAGGAAATTTTGAGAGAACCATCTTGTCAGCCGTAGAAAAATATTTGAACCTTGTAAGTATTTATACAACTTATAAAATTTACAATGTAAATTTATTTGTTTAGATAGTAGATCTGCACTCCAAAATCTGCATGTATGAATATATGTATGCATTTATGTACATATTTTTTTCTTTCATTAAATGTGACGTCATTTTCATTTTTTTCTTTGTTAATTGAAGTGCAATACTCAGGAAGTGGTTGATATGTACGTTAGCGGCATGCTTGGAATCCAGTCACATGTCTTGCAATCACTAGTGGAGCGAAAAACATTTTCATCTTTGGAAGAGATTGCGAAGGTTATATATGATAATTGATTCCAATTACAAGTTCTAAAAAATATTTTTGATATTTAATTTGCGAACAGAAATACCTTTTGCATGAAGCATTTTTGTACACTAAAACTGTATTTCATCACGTACGTGTACTATACTTCAAAAAGAGAAATCATGTATTCATATCCATTTAGAGGCCTTATACTATACTTTCAATTAAAAAAACCCCCATATATTCTTATCCTTTTAGAGGCCTAATATTCAATTGACTTCATCAAATTAGGCATAAATTATATGTATTTGTAAATTACTAGTACACTGTAGGCATTGCTCAATAAACATATATATTAAACAATTTAGGACAGGAATTTATGTGGTATACTTCAATATCCAGAAGACATATTAAGAAACAACTTCTACATTTCAAATCTACTATCACAATTTTTCCAAAGAGTGTGGACGCTCGAGTTAAATGCCTCACCAACTGCCTACTTAGAACAGATTTTAACCTGCAATTGTTACCCGCAGTATGTTGAGAGCTACTGTAAGTGATAAATCTTAAAAAATCCAATTTGCTATCTTTCTGTCAACTGTATTTATTTACTGTTAAAATTCCACCTGATTTATTATTCAAAGCATTCTGGCAATACCTAATTTCTAATTTGTACTATATTTTAGATCAAAAAGGATTACTTCTCAATTATATGGATGGCGAATCAGTAAGGAAACTTGAAAGATCACTAGATATTTTACAAGACTTCATTACGGCTATAGAGAACAACTCTATTATGATTCAGGACCTGTTGGTTGGACTAAAACATTTAGAAAATCTAAGGAATATTGCAGAAAAATTAGAAACAATCCCAGACTTTGATTTACCATTAACCCCAGATTCTTTGTCCATACTCCTCGAATGCCGGGGAAAAGACATAAAAACCCTAAACGACGAAATAAAAATTGTTGAGGGTTTAAAGATGATTTTAAAGTGGTTACGAAATTGTAAGTAGTAATATATACATTGATGAAATATGAAGAAACATAATTGATATTCAAGTTTACAATGATACATAGTATATAGATGATAGTCTTTGAGATATCTTTATTTTCAATGTTTGATTTAAATAACAGATAACATATATTTTCAATTTTTTAAAAAAAATATACAATTTAAAGAAATGGCATTCTGCTCACTGGGTTAAGGTCACCCAAGTCACTCATGTGAACTGTTGCAATGCGTTTTATTTAAACCAGTTTTGGATATAACATCTAAAGGTATAGTTGAACAAAGAATTTGAATTTTGTGGTCTTTTTTTTTACCCTGTATAGAGTATGATTGTTGTGACCAAACCCAACATTAGTGCAATCTTTATCTTTTTTTTTTTTTATTTCTGGACATCACGCATTTAAACTTGACCACAATGAATTTTTCACCAATTTTGATGGTCATTACAAATACACACCTCTTTCACTCCTGCATCATTAGCAGGAAAATCGTTTACTTGATAGTATAAAGCAATGAACCTTCGACCAAAATTTTTAAAAGAATTATTGCCCTTAGGTTAATGGCATAGGCCCCAGGGTAAAGTTGGAAAAATATTGAGAATAAAGTTCTAATTTGAAAATCTTTACCTTTCTTATGAACATCTAGAAGGCAATCTGTTTGCATTATTACAATGAGAATCACATATTAACGCATAAGAAATTGGGAACAATGTCGTGCTACGGCTAGTACTAGCTACAGAAACATGGTATAGGGCTTGAGGTGTAGTACCTGATGACGACCTTAAAACTATAATTTTGGACTTATATAAAAATATTGTAGCACATTATCAAAATTCCCTTTTGGCAGCCCTCCTTTTTTTCTTATATGTATTCTTTTAGTTCTTAATACAAGATGTAATCATGCACTTGTATTATACTACATACACGCAAACAAATATAAACTTACAAACTTGCATATATCTTATAAATTCCCTTCATTATTTATTAGTATAATATAGTTTTACTATTAGATAAGTATTACTTACAAGTTCCATATACCCTACTGTAACCAAAATATGGTTTTATTTCATCATTTATAATTTTCTTAATTTAATTTTGTTTAAGTTGACATTTAACTCCATGTATGGTCGGCCACCAAAAACTGATTACTTCAGTTTTCCCGACTAAGTAACACGGTGGCTATTTATTTATTTATTTTCAAAAAAATAATAAGTAGATGTATATGTACATGACCATATAGAGGCCTGTCCTTCTACATTACAGTGTAAGGTACAGAGATTTTGAGCCTGGAAACACAAGGTGAACAAATAAGAATATATATATTCTTAGGACCAATGAATGATTTATCGTAATTATGATTTATCAATTTAATACATACAAAGGTATTATAGAATTCTTTGCCCCGGAGTCCATGGTTGTTCAGTCCCCAGAGAAGGGTTGAGTGAGTCAGTTATTGAGATAAATAGGATTGTCAATCTTTCAGAGTGGACTGAATTAATCATACATTAAAACATGCTATTTTTTCCACTTTTTATCTCAAGTGAAATTTCAATTGGGCTTTCCATATTTCCCCTTGTCTGACGTCGTCCATCTGTAAACTCTTCTCATTTTTGACTTTTCCTCAAGAACTACTGAATCAATGTTAACCAAAGTTGGTACGAAGCATCATAGGGTTGAGGAAATGAAATTTTAAACTATTCAAATAAAGATGAAAGATCACTTGCAAGAGGATACTTTCAAAAAAGGCAAAAAAGGGTGGAGTCATTAAAAATATTTCTTCTTTTCAAGAACCACTGGGCCAGAAAACATTAAACTTATTTGATTGATTGTTTGTTTGTTGTTTAACGTCCCTCTCGAGAATTTTTCACTCATATGGAGACGCCACCACTTGCCGGTGGAGGGCTAAAAATTTTGACCTATACTCGGCATTCAGGGCCATTGAGCAGTGAGGGATCTTTTTCGTGCCAGCACCTACTGCGACACGGGGCCTCGGTTTATACGGTCTCATCCGGAGGACCGGTCTCCACGTCCCGCAGTGGGATTCGAATCCCACTGCGGGACGTGGAGACCGGTCCTTCGGATCAACTCTTTACTCCGTGACTCTAGAGTAGACGCTCTAACCACTGCGCCACGTGGCGACAAACTAATTTGAAGGATTACTAAGATATTGTTTTTTGTAAGTTATTCAAATCATGGCCCCTTGGGGAAGGACAGAGCCACAATAAGGAATCAAAGTTTTACATTAAAATATTAAGAAAAATCTTTCAAAAAATTTGACTGTCTTATTTTAGAAACATTTATGGTAGGTACTTGATGACTGTTACTCAATCATAGAGCGTCATTCTTGTCCGAGGCAAAACAAATTTGTTTGAAAGTATCCTCTGGTAGTGTAGATTTCATTTTGTTCAAGTCATGAACCCTGGTTTTAGGATGAGGTCACAAAAGACAATCAAAATTTTACATAGGAAAACATGTATAGGGGGAACATTTTGATGATGAAGATCAGCAGGACCTAAATGACTCAGGTGAGCATTGTGACCGATGGGCATCTCGTTTATCGACCTCTAGGAAAATTGTCAATACGATTATAAAAAAAAGCGACTAATAAGCTTGACCCTTTATAAATAAATTTTATGGTGATATTTCAAGCTACTTTTGGCACATTCTTTGATAGATAAATCAGGGTTACCAAATGGTTACGAAACAGTTCTTCAAAACTGGAAAAAGATGAAATTAGAAGATATATGCGTTATTCCAAAACAGATGTCAGATTTTGCAATGTATACCCCAAGGTTGAAAGTATTTACCGAAATCCTGGAAGAACCTGTAAAATCTTTCGTAAAATGCATTTCATTTTACAAACAAAGCAAAACATTTCAAACTGTTATAAAATCAGTATCTAAACAGCAATCGGGGGAGATGAAGAATTATGACTTTTTTGAGCTATTTGAGGAAGTTTTAAATCCTGCAAAAGATATGTGGGAGGAATACTGTACCAGCCTGGAAAATGGAACAATAACCATCAGGGACATCGAGACATTACAGCTGCACAAAGTAGATGATAGCAGTCTGCAGAAAGAATTTACAGCAATGAACAGAGGTTCAAAAAAACCTTGGATAAAAAATCGCATAGACGAATTCCGACGATATAAGTGCTTCTCACGATCTGTTGAGACTGCAGGATTGCTGAAAGAAATACAAAGCACGAACAATATTGAGGGGAATTTTGACTCCGTGGAATTAATTGAACGATCTGTAAGAATAAATAATAAAGCTTAATATATTAAGTAATATATTGTAGATAGAATCGTTTGCTATGTATCACTAATCTTTTGCAATAATATTGGAAATATTTGTATCATTTAAGGACAGGGACAAAGCTATATCCCTAAAAGAGATGGCTAGTAAGATTCAGTCTTTCAATCAAAAGTTAGAAAAAGTTGATGAAAAGAAAAGGGAATGCCTGAAGTCCTTCTGCAGATCACATGCTCTAGTAAAATGGCTTCGAAATTCATTAAAAGGTAATTGATGATTAAGCATTACCGGTATGTTTATGTTTTAGGTGCATTCTTGCCAGTATGAAGTATGAATAGGCCTCTTGTAGAAAAATCCATCCCCAAATTACGCAAGTGTATTTAAAACTTAAAGATGTTGTTGAAAATGTGAAGATAACGAACAGTGATCGATCTCAAAAAATCTTTAAACAATACAGATCTGTGAAGAGGGCATAAACTTGTCCCCTGGGAATTCCAGACGTGGGATTAGATGCCTAGGAGGGGTTAGCATTCCCTGTCGACCGCTCATACCCGCCATGAACCCTATGTATTGATCAGATAGACGGAACATTCCGTAGTCAAATTCAGTATAAAAATAAAGATCTAACAATTGATATGAAGAAGTTAGCAAAAATACGACTCAATGACAGGTTATATGTACTAACAAGGTCAATATTACAACAATAGAATTTCCAAAATACTGATTGAAACGAGGTTGTTGAAATCACTGTAACATCAACTTTAGTAGCCTGCCTCGGTTTAAAAACTGATCGTACTCGTAGCATGCTCTTGAGTATCGAGAAAGTTGGGAGATGTAAACACTATATGCAGGTGATAACGGGATATTTCTACATTAATAAGCAAAGCTGATGATGGAAAAGTTTAAATCTTGTTTGTCATACAGCTTAGATGTTATTTGGTCCTTATTGTCTATCGGCAGTAAAACATTCAAATATTTAACAGATGTGTCTATTTTTTATCAGTGATATTTTCAAGCATTAAAACCTGTGGAAAAGTGGGGAATTGAATAATAATTAATCCACAATGCAGCTGTACACGATTTCACATTCCCACACGTTGATTCTGTTTCTGTTTCTCGAAAATGTTAGAAACACCTTATCCGTGATTGGCAAAGTAATAATGTACACAGAATTTAAGAAATTCATTTTGCAAAGTAAGAAAACTTAAGGTTTGTTAACATCTGCGCTTAAATGATCAGTTCTGTATTTTATTATCGTCTTTTATTTATTTATTAATAATAAATTAATAATTTTTCGTAATTGTTAAGAGATTTTTCAACAAGTCTCATGTCTTTTGGCAATCAAAAAATTATGGAATTCAAATTAGAGAAAAACTGGAAACTAACTTGCTCAAGTTATTGAACAAATTTCACAATTATCTCCCCCCCCCTCTCTCTCTCTCTCTCTCTCCATACATACATGCAAACATACATATATATATATATATATATATATATATATATATATATATATATATATATGTGTGTGTGTGTGTGTGTGTGTGTGTGTGTGTGTGTGTGTGTGTGTGTGAGGGTGTGTGTGTGTGTGTGTGTGTGTGTGTGTGTCGAAAGGAAAAAAATTGCATATTTATAGTATAGGTTATATGCAAAAAGAAAAAAAATACAGTTTGAATATCATTATTAAGGCGATATGATAACAAATATCAAACAGAATCTTCGAAAATATGTCATAATGTTAGCACATATACATATTTATCACTCTCATTCATTACCATGTAAAATTATTCAGTTAATTGAATGGTTATACACATAAAAACTTGTATTCCAAACAATTTCCTTCCTTCTAGTTTTTAGAATATTTGCGAGATAGAATTTGAAGCATAAATATAATGAATAAATATATTGCGTCTTTTGATAAAGCTACCATGCATAGAGATATCAACCAGCAAGAATTCCATTATTTCCTAGCCGTCACCGTAAACATGGAAGTCTTAATTTTGTCAACTAAGTAAATTTGGGTTTGCATATATTTTTCAGGTGGAGTAAAAGATTTGAAAATATACGCAGACTTGGCTTTTATGTCTGTGGAAGAAGATGACCTTATTGCACACATAACCGACTTGCATACAGCAGCAATTGGATATGCACCCTTGATTTTCTACACAGAAAACATACAAGGAGAAGATGCTTTGATTCAAAGATGCGAAGAAGTTTGGACTAGTCTGGAAAAGGACGAGGATTTACCGCGAAAATTGGTACATGATTATACATGTACAAATAATTTTTTAATACCTAATTGATAGTTGTTTAGCCAGGTATTTCTTCTTATTTTAGAATATCTGTTTTAAATTATCTACTAACATATAAATAAGATTTAAGAACTCAATTTGTTAGATCGAATCAAATCGGTTACTACAATGGTTTGTTGAAATCAAAGAGGCCCATGGCTCCGTTGAAGTGACGTCACTGAAACAGGTTGATGCTATAAAACAGCGTGGGATTTTCAGAGTTGGAACTCGTGAAGGGAAACATGACATTCACCTGGTGAGGTTTTATAAGTTTCTATAAATTATTGGTTAATTGCAGCAGTATTTCAATATCTAGTCCCAACAAAAAAATAACTATATGGTTGCTTATTGACAACTATTACATAATATCAGGTGATAGGTGAATTATGACATTATTCTAATGACTGGTCCCCCGCAAATAATGAATACCTGTTAGATGATGAGCAACATTTGTACATGCTGTGTATAAAAACTAAACTAACAATGAAATAATTTCCGATCACTGTACATTATGACACTGCTCTTTAAAAAACTATTTGAAGTACTTGTGAAACAAAAACTAAATTCTTTGTAGAGCTTACAGGATGTTGTTTGTCTTTGCGTACCTAGAGCTGTCCAAACAGACCATTTTCAGGAAACATTAGTTAAAGATCTTGCCTCGACATGTGAAGAGAGTCCTGAAGATTTGGAAGAAACTGTATGCTTTCAATCAAAGGACATGGAAACCAAACGTGCAGATCCCATCACAGAAGGTCGAGAATACTCCTATAGTGATATGATGGATTTGCAGAGTCGTCTCATGCTGGTCTCTGGAAAAACTGATGCCGGCAGGGAAAATATAGAAAAATTTACAGCTGTAATTCATTTAATTCTTTGAACAAAAGATATTGGTGTTACATTCATACTTCAGTTACTAAATGGAAACTTATGAATTGCCTATTTATTTATCTGTGATTTCATCGTAACAATTAGCCTAAAAGCTAGCTTTTGCCTGTATACTTCCTCTATTGAAAAATTTTTGATATCTATCAAACATATGTACCGTTATCATACCAAATTTAACAAAATGCTAACTGAAATGATCAGATTTTTGTCATAACATTTTGTACCATTTCAGATTTTTGACAACATAACAAGACTTGGAAGAATTTTTATCAAACTTTACTCATCAGGATGCGTGTTATTTAAACAATGGTCATTTGAGTTTCTCTGCAACAAATCGGTTGAGAACTGTGCTTTTGTAAAGTTTGGTCAGCAGCAAGAGTCAACTTTAAAGGGAACTAATACGAAAAGCAGAGATGAACATTTATCACAAGATGATGTCGTAAATGACTATATGCAAAAAATAGCGGATTTCTTGGAAGATTGCTATGAACAATGGATGGGGCATGTTAGAGAAACTAGGGATAGATTTTATCCGTTAAACTTCTTCACAGTTGCCCAAATGATCATTTTACAGGAAGAATTAGCAATGTACAGACATGGAAGTCATGATTCAAAGCATTTGCTTGCCCTCCTTTCATATGTCAAGTCAGATTGTTCACTGGAGGATTTAGAGTTTGCATTCAAGAGCTTGGACGAACAATTGACAAAACAGCAGGACAAAGATGTCATCGGTGAATCTTCAGCATCCCAAGAAAACAGGGCAATTCAAGATTTTCTCAAAGCAGCCGTTGATGCCGGCATGTCAAAAAGAAGAGCAATGCAATGCATACAGTCTAATGCCTTTGACCCTCAAGATATTGAAAGTAGTAAGAATCGCAAAGTTTTTATCATATTGAATTTCTAATAACGGGGTATATATAAAGCTAAGGCATGAAAATTAACACCATAATAAATGAAAATAAATCCATTTTTCCAATAAAGTGATAGCACTATTACTATTGCAAAAATCATGTACAGTAAGAATGATATATTTTAGCAAATGTAGAAGATTTTAAATACTTTTACATTTACACATAAGACTATAAACTTGACAAGTAAGATGTTTAAGGCTTGCATGATTCACCCTGTTTAGGCCTTATCTGGTGCTATGAAGAGGATGAGAAAGAGGAAGAAAACATAGTTGATACTGTGAATGATATATCTAATCCAGAATTCTCGAGGGACCCTAATACTGTGTCACTTAAAGATTTTGACAGACAAATTGAGAATCTTCTGAGGTACCGTACATGTTCAAGCTAAAAGAATAAAGTGATCTTAGAGATATTTGATGATGTTGTGAATTTGTTACCTTTCGTTTTACAAACAAAGATCAATTGAATATTTAAACAAAATAAATTTGGGCGAAGTAAATATTGGTTTTCTTTTCCTTTAGACAAGAAGCTGTTGAAAGCATTGAAAAGAGGTTAAGCGAAATTTGGCGAAAATATTTGAAATTTACGTCTCTGAGCATGAACGACTTTTTGAGTGTGGAGCATTTAGGGTTTATACTGCAGCATATCTATGACACAAGTAAGTTGATAAAGATATGATAATCATGAACCAATTAAACTGAAATATGACAGGTTCATTAATGGGAAATTAAAATGTTTTTGCAGACACTAAAGTGTGTAGTCGTCCATTGCCAGCTCCACTGAAACCTGGAAAACCTAATCTCATTGTGTGTTCCCAGGGTAAGGATTGATAAGGAGGTTTGAATCTGAATTATACTAGTAATCCAAGAACTATATCTTGCTATTTTAAAGATTAACACGACTTATGAATAAGCAAACGCCATATTAGTTTTCCTATGTCCTATATCAGCATTGGGGTATTCACTTCGCATTCATAAGACCTGAATGCTTTCTTTTCACGCGTACCTGCGTGGAATGGACGACGCGTGTTCATGTTGGTTATCTTACATTACCTTTGTTTACAATTTATGCAGTTTACGTGTATGTCTGTTTGTATACTGCACTGACCTGTGCAACTGATGAAAGTTTCTTTGGTAAATTTTTCTTCTGTCATGGAATTAAGACCAAGAAACTCTTGTCTTCACCGAGATTTTTACATGTAGAATACGTCCGTCTACGCCGGTGAATCTGAAAATACTAAACCGAGACCATATGAACGGCTTATTTAAGGCAATACAGCTAACCGCAGAGTACATGGTGGACAAACATAGATCTCTGCCTTTTACAAATCATGTTCAGCTAACTAGTAATTAATGCAGATAAGTTATTATGCTATATTATGGATAAACTGGATGTGATTTGCCTATGCTTAAAGCAGTCCGACCCTCAGTTTCTGAAAATCAGGCGTTGAATAATTTAAAATGCTCACAAAAATGTCTCTGAATTCTCAAATTAATGTGCATTTACCCACGGTAATTCTTCAAACTTCATCATTAAAGTTAATCACATTATATAGGGAAATTCAGTAAATCTCGGATAAATTTTCAGGAAATGCGAATAAAAAGACCTACTGTGTATTTTCTATCAGAAAATTGATAAAAAATATATTTTAAAATAAAAAATTATAGGTATGCAGACATTTGAAGAAAATTGCGTGAATTTTACGCTTGTACGGTACTTAAGTTTCTTCTATATATTTCATTTATTTTATAATGCATAGTGTATAAAGCGTTTCCTGTCATTGAAAAACACTATAAATCATTTCTAATTTAACAACATGCTTCCCAGATAGCAAGACTACATCGGGCCAACGTTGGTTGATGGTTGATAGGTTGGTATAGTGTTGGCGTTGGGCGGTAAATGTTGGCCCAACATTGGCCCAACGGATGATATGTTGGCGTGAAAGCTGGTCCATCGGTGTTGGGTATGCGATGTTGGGCCAATGTTGGTCCATTGTAGTAAATGTTGGCATGAAACATGACCATTATATGTTGGGCATTTGATGTTGGCCCAACGTAGGTCCAACTAAGTAGATGTTGGCTTAAAACAAAGCCACTGTGTGTTGGGATGTAATGTTGGCCCAACATAGGGCCAACCAAGTAATGTTGACATGAAACACATGAAATGTGTGTTGGGCATGTAATGTTGGTCCAATGTTGGCCCAACGTAGTAAATTTTGATTATAATGAGGTTTTGATATGGCTTTCAACGTTGGCCCAGCGTTGGTTCAACGGAGTGAATATTGGGATAAAATCATCTTTCATTAACATACATGTTGGTGATCTGTTAATTACACATATCAAATTTGTATCTTTTAGAACCAATTAAGCTTCTTTCAATAGAGACATCTCATCTTTCGTTAAAATATTATGAACAATGGATTATCTTAATAGCCCATTTATTAAATAATTTACAGTGTATGTGTTAATAAAAATGAAAAATTATTCTAGAACCTAATTTATGAAAATAAGATTTTTAATACTGATTTATGTTTTTAATTTGTGTCCGAGACCATTGCAAATACATGTAGAAAGTTTTAATTATTCTGCACAGTATATAATTCTGTAGATTCTATATTTAGCATCATGGAACTTAAAGTGCTGAATTTTAGAGCTCCAAATAATTAGGTCAGTGGTGAAATCCACTGGCTCAGCAGGTGACTGGTCGGTTTCCTAGGAAACAGGCATCCTAATCAGCTCTGTTTCGTAAACTCGGAGTGGTCACATCTTATCACTTGCAACACTTGAACAAAGCATATACATGTGCGTGTCCGTTTTGAATCGCAAGACAGAGAAAATGGATTGTTTTAGCCCTTGAAATGTAAGTATAGTCGTTTTAGGTGTGATTGATAGAATTTTATCTCTGTGAAAGTTTTAACTTGAGCATAGTTTGTAAAATTGAACAAGTTATTCAAGAATTGCAATTTTCAAAATATGCATGTATATTTACTAGTAATCTCTTTAAGTTATAACTTATAAGTAGTAAGTGACATCATTTTTGAACGGATTAAACTGATATATTTTTCATATCATTTATAGCATCTGGTGGGGAGAAAACCCTTTGTGTTACAAGACCATTGATGTTTGGAATGTAATGTTTATCTCAGTTATCAGTGTGAGAGACATGGATTTTACAGACAAAGAAACAATAACATGAACAGGAAAAAAAAAGGAGTGAATGGTTCAGAAGTAATATGGGCAGGAGAACATTCCAAAGTTTCACAAATTTGAACACTGGGACTCTTATTCTAGAGGAATATTATATAGTGACTGAAGTGATATGGGATAGACTTAAGAAAATTGAACTACCTTTATTTCCCTCTGTTGATTTCATTCCATAGGAGTGAGAAAAAAATTGAACATCTGTTTGAGGAACAAGATAATTTACCATGCAGGATTTATTCAATCAATTGTGTTTTACTCATAATTATGGAAATAAAAAGGTTACAGGAATTCATATTGTCGAACTAAAATAATTCAATCGCCGATCATTTGCCAACATGTTTATAGAACGTAGTGCCAATGTTGGTCTAACATTCATTCTTAGCTTTAAAAATCATTGAACCAACATTGGGCCAACAGGAAGTTAAACGTTGGGCCATTGTTGGGCCAATGCCAGATAACCAACCATCGAATGTTGGCCCAACGTCGAGCCAACATGTTGGTTGAACGTAGGGCCGATGAGCAAGATGATGTTGGGCCAACGCATAAAACTGACAGAGGACCAACGCAATTTTCACCGTTGGGCTTGCGTTGGCCCAACGTAAGCTTGCTATCTGGGTTATCAATTGGTATCTAGGGCTAGATTAAAGAAAAATGAATTTCTCTAAATATGTAATTTTTAACAATACTCTCATGGAGTACAAATATAAACTTTTCATAAGACCGTTTCAAAGACGTCAAAGAACCTTGAATCACATCTATATGCATGAAATGAAAATTGTTGCATGAAAAGATTTCAATTTCAAGCTTCATTTTTAGAGTTTTTTTTTAATTAAATAATAGATAAAGGAGTTATTCTTCCTGGCTGAGGAGCGTATATCCTTAATGTGTCTAATTTTAACTTATATAATAAAATTATACAGTTTTGCATGCTTATAAATCTTTTCTTCGTTATCGTGAAATAATTTTGCTTGTCTTCGTTTTAGTTTTCATTTTTTTAAAAAAGAAAGCAAATCTTTCATGTATAGGAAACGCTCGTATAAATGAGCAATTGTCCCTTTAGAAGGTTTAGTGTATATAAAAACGTATACAATTCCAGGGGAAGTATTACCAATGCTATTGACTCTGCTTATGAATGATCAAACATTGCCACTACCAGGTAGAAATGAGGTCTTGCTGTGTACAGAATTGACAACAACGGAAGAGGTAGGAATTTCATTTTTAATTGCCGTTTGGATTTATGTTCCTTATCTTCACATCTTTTATCTAGCAAAAAACGTTAAAGTCGCTAAGAAAAGTAAGTAAATCAATCTTGCAAGATTCTTATTTATTTCATATTTATTAAAACTTTTACCTTGTTATTAAGATAAACCTAAAAATTTCAGAAAAAAATATGCATAATCTATAGTTGCATTTTAGGTAATTATGTTCTTTCGAAGAGCATTGAGACAGGAAGAACACGACAAAAATCGTCCCATTTTCTGTCTGGTGAATGCAGACTTAATTCGATACGATGTCTGTGAGGAATCACTGAGAGAATTCAAGGAAGAAATGAGAGCTGCAAGAACAGGTTTAAATAAATAATAAAAATGAGAGGAAAATGTCAGTTTAACTGGTAGAAGCACTGTGTAAACATCCTCTCCTCCCAAAAATAGACAAAGTTAAAACATATGCTCTCTCATTTACTACTATTTGGAATACTTGTTTTTCAGATAACTCTCACGAACAATCTTTATTTTAGAAAATTAGGGGGTTTTTTTATTGACTGGCATTTTATCTTTGTAATTATTGTTAAAGGTAAATAAAAGTGTTTTGATTCTCAAATTCAAATATTCACGAATATCAAAGACTTACATTTGTCTAATAACATACGGATTTTTTTTTTTTACTTTTCGTAGAGTACAGTCTTGTGGTCATTTGCAGCAGTGAAAACGAGTACCAGTCACCAATAATCGCCGCCCTCGACAAATTTCGTACACCAAAAATGACAGTCTCTGCAGAGGAGAAAATTCAACATTATTTGAGGAATAAATTTTGTACACGTGGAAAGGTTGAAAGCAATGCTGCATCTATTGTTGATGAATCAGGGTGAATAATTTGTATTCATGTTTAGAATTCAAGATTATCAGATTTTATAGTATATAATAGACCGTCACCAAATGCAGGAAAATAATTAAGCAATCCATGTTTTTCTTATATTACAGATTATGCGTTCGTGTTGTGAAATCAAACAGGGCTGGATTGGGAAAAACACTCCACAAAAATCGTCTGGTTGAGCAGTTGAGGATACATTATCCAAGTGCCGATGAGGAGGAATTCCCACTTACGTATTCAATCCCTCTCAGCCAAAAGGATCATGATTTTACTGAAGTATCAAGAAAGTTCATGGATTACACACTGTCGCCTGACATTATCTATCCCAGAATTTTCCATATAGATGTAGCCTCTGGGGTATAACTTATTTAATGTTTTAACATTACTCGATTTTAACTCATATTATCCTTTTTGATTAATGTACACTGTGCTTCTTCTTTTTTAGATCGATGAAGGAGTAGCATCTTTACTATTCAATCTGATAATTTTGGGATCTGTTGTCGATGACAGAGGATATGCATTTCAACGATCAATGACAGATTTGTACTTGATTGAAATAACTGTCAGTGATAAAAGTCACTATGTACGTTTAAAAAAACTTTAGTTTAATATTTATTATGCCCCCGGATCGAAAGATCCCGGGGGTATATTGTTTTTGTCCTGTCTGTCTGTTTGTTTGTCTGTTTGTCTGTTTGTCTGTCTGTTGTCAACTTTAACCTTGCCCATAACTTTTGATTGGTTGGAGCTATTACTTTCATATTTCACATGTGTATTCCTTGTGACAAGACCTTTCTTTGGGTACCATCATATTTGACCTTTTGACCTTGACCTTGGAGTTTGACCCACTTTTGCAAAATTTTATGAGACTTTAACCTTGGCCATAACTTCTGAACAGTTGGAGCTTGGGGTTTCAAACTTCACATGTGTATTCTTTGTGACAAGGCCTTCTTTTGGATATCAATCACTTTGACCTTTTGACCTTGACCTTGGACTTTGACCTACTTTTGAAAAACTTTAACCTTGGCCATAACTTTTGAACAGTTGGTGCTTAGGGTTTCAAACTTCACATGTGTATTCCTTGTGACAAGACCTTCCTCTGGATATCAACCACTTTGACCCTTTTGACCTTGACCTAGGAGTTTGACCTACTTTTGAAAAACTTTAACCTTGGCCATAACTTTTGAATGGTTGGAGCTAGGGCTTTCATATTTCACATATGTAATCCTTGTGACAAGACCTTCCTTTGAATACCAACGACTTTGACCTTTTGACCTTGACCTAGGAGTTTGACCTACTTTTGTAAAACTTTATCCTTAGTCATAACTTTTGAATGGTTGATGCTAGGGCTTTCATACTTCACATATGTAATCCTTGTGACAAGACCTTCCTTTGGATACCAACCACTGTGACCCTTTGACCTTGACCTAGGAGTTTGACCTACTTTTGAAAAACTTTAAACTTGGCCATAACTTTTGAATGGTTGGTGCTAGGGCTTTCATACTTCACATATGTAATCCTTGTGACGAGATCTTCCTTTGGATACCAACCACTTTGACCTTGACCTTGACGTTTGACTTTTATTTAAAAAACTTTAACCTTCACCATAACTTTTGAACAGTTGTATCTAGGTCTTTCAAATTTCACAGGTGTTTTCCTCGAGACAAGATCTTTCTTTGGGTATCAACATTTTTTATCTTTTGGCGTGGATTTTGACTTGCATTTGAGAAACTTTAACCTTCGACATAAGCTACCATACGGGGGCATAGTGTTTCACAAACACATCTTGTTTTTTTATCCTGTATTTAATTCTAATCATTATAAGACAATTATATGAAAATCGTTCTTGAGACAGAACATCAAAAATGTTGAATATCAATTCTGTTTATCTGTTAGTCACGACGATCAGTTTCTGGTATCCGACTGATAGACCTGCTGCCTTGTGTGCGATGCCTCTCCCCACAAGAAGAATTGAAAGGCATGATGAGAGGTTATAAATATTCATTAAGCAAAGGAAATGTAAATGAACTATATATGATGTAAAACTTGTCTAATCTAAACACCACTGGTTCCATAGAAAATTAGTCAGCATTTCAGATTACGCAACATTTTAAACAACTGAACATACTGAGATGGACCAAAAGTTTTTATCTTGATAGACAAGATTTCGGAATACATTACATTCGGATTAGAGAATTTTACTGTATAAAGTTAAGAATAAAGTATCATTTTTTCTCTTTGTTATTAGAAATGGAGAATGGTGACATGGTGCTTGGATTCGATAACCAGATGTTTCAGTCGGAGGTCTTTCAAAGACCTTTTCAATATCTTCAAAGCCTCGAGTCAAATAAAAAGATTATACCAATTTTCAACCGCTTTTCCCGAATCGGAAATAAGCGTGAATGCTTACAAACTCTCTTACGGTATTATTATTATCCTTTTACCTAAGAAAATTGGTATTTAAAAGAGTAGATATATTTTAATATTAGATAATACTTGTTCATATTCCGTTTTAATAGACACTGCTGTGTGGAAGATCCTTCGTGGTCTGAGCTGAGAAATTTTGTCCACTTTTTGAATACACAATTAGGAGATTTTGAAAAGTCGGTTTTTTGTGGCACTGAAATGGCTGCTGATTTACCGGGGTTTGCAAAATTTGTTTTGCGATTTTTAATTCAGATGTCAAAGGTAAGAGGTCGCTCTAAGAAAGATTTCTTAAACACTTGAATAAAATAAATTTTAAGTCCTGGAATATATCAGAGGTGCATATAAATGCAGTCTTTATTTTATTAAACAGGATTTTTCAACAAGATCACTGATGATGACTGATGACGACGAAAAAATTGAACCGAAAATTTACCAAGGTGAAGTCGAGAACGAAAACGAAGAAACAAATGATGAGGAAGATATCATTGACTTATCACAGTTTCAAATAAGACGTCGCTGGGAATCGAGGTAACTTTTTACGAACATTTGATATTGCTTTTCTTTTTTAGCTGCTCTAATGGTAGGTGCAACTCACCAACCTAATGGCTAAATGTTGAGGAAGAAGGAATTTTCAATAAACTCAGTTTTTACTTGACACTAGAAACGGTCTTATGTTATCAGGTTTATTCCTCTGTTTTCCTCTGTTGCTGGTTAGGATTGTATGATTTTTTCCTTTATAGCATTGTTTTTTTAAGAAATCAGAAACTCAAATCTAAACATATGCCACTTCCATTGACAATCAAGACAAGAAATTTTTTTTTATTTCGTATCATATAAATTATTACATTTAGGCAGTAAATTTTATTTGTTTAATCAAAATAATGAACTTTATGAATAACTGATTGATTGATTATTGATAAACGCCGTGTCAACAGTATTTCAGCCATATTTTGACGTAAAATTAAGTCCATATGACCGGTTTTTGAAAGTTTTGAACAGCTTAGATAATATGTTCTTTGCAGTGCTCATCCATATTTGTTTTTCAACCCTGATCATCACACTATGACGTTTCTTGGGTTCAATATCAGCAAGATGAACAGAAATCTAGTCGATAACCAGACAGGTCAAATTCTAGAAAGAAACATAATGACACCGCATCTTTGGGATGCCCTGATCGGTAACCGTGTTCCACTTCAAGAGAATTTTGAAGACCTAAATAGGTAGACAAACAATTTTGACATATTTATTGTTTTTTAGCGCAAATAAGCCAAAGCCTCTGGTGGAGTTATTTGATCAAAATAAGTCCATTGTTTTGTTGATATAAACATTTTCACATTGTCATCTTCTTTAGAACGAATCGGTCAATTTCAAAATTTTCTTTTCGAGATTAACGGAGCTAATTTACTCATATTTCATATTAAGAAGGCTGGGCAGTCAACAAATTAACCATCAGATTTAACTTAATTTTTTAGATATGATATCTTAAGCTGTGAACTATCATTTGGCAAAGAAAAAATTTCATAGATTTTAGTTTTAAAATTTGATCATTTTTGTATATCTTCATATGGAGCCCTTCTTCTAATGGAGGTCAATATAGTCTGAAAATGGCCACAACCACCCAGCCCTCTTAACATGTAAACATCCTCAGGTAGTGTAAAATCAGACTTGATCAAATCATGGTCCCCGTGGGAGCCACAATAGGTTATCAAGCATTTAAAGGGGAATATGCAGGGACATTTCTCTAAAGATCTCTAGGCTATTAAGAACAGCAGGACCACAATCGTATTATGCAAACATCCCCAGCCATCGAAGATTCTAATGAACTAAAACCATGGCCCAAGGGTTAGGTTGGGCCAGAATAATGATCAAATAATTCCATGGAATATGTAGGAAATAAATCTTACGTGCATATTTATAATTATTCAATTCATGGCCCCCGGAGGCTAATAAAGGGCTAAAATATGTATTCAGAATTTTACAATGACTCAGGAAATTAAAAAAAAAAATAAAACGATTTCGCATCAGGGTGACGCTTAATCATACTGTTACATGTATACAAACATTTCCACATCAAGTTGATTCATGAGTTTCCGAAATTTACATTTGGGGTGGGACTAAAATTGGAGATCACATTTTACGTAATATACGGAAAACGTTTTAAAATATAAAATATAATTTAAAAATATAATCCTCTCTAAAACAGCAAAGCCATGTTGGTTAGATTGGTATTCAGAATTCCTATGTATTGTGGATTTAAGTTAGGTAAAGGCATGGCTCCCTTAAGCTTGGGCCCACAGTTAGACCACAGTATGGGGTTTAAAGTTTTCGTTGGGAACAAAATCTTTGAAAAATCTGAAGAATTGCAGGGTTTTGAATTTATTGATCAATTTTAAATTTGTTTAAAAGGTATGAAAAGCTAGAAAGACTCTGCAGGGTTATCGGAAATGAGTTTCCTCACGATCCAGATGAAACATATGAACTGACAACAGACAATGTGAAAAAGATGATGGCAATATATATGCGATTCAGGTGAATATCCATCTAATAAAAGCCTAGTTCGATTTTAGATATTGCATGGAAATACAAACCAAGGTCTTCCTTACTTTTAAGAAAAATGCACACAGTGTTTCTATTTCTTAAGCTCATGGAATTAACAAATGATGTTTTTCTTGAAGAGTCACTTGAAAAGCAGTTTAGATTCCTTTTGTCCACAGCTTAGAATTTCTTGTTTGAAATCGGCACTTTCTCATAAGTGCTCTTTTAATACAAATCAAATGTCTGTTAATGTTAAAATATTTTTATTAGATGTAACATTCCAGTCATTGTTATGGGTGAAACAGGATGTGGAAAAACACGCTTAATTAAGTTCCTTTGCGCTCTACAGTGCCCCCCAGGCGCTGAGATTAAAACCATGGCAGTGATGAAGGTAAACATTTTAACTTAAATGGAATTATTCTATAATAATACCAATTTCCTAACGGGTGAAAGAGACAAGAATGAAGCTCAAGCAAATTGTCATTACCATAGATGAAATACTACAAAGGAAACTTGGTGATTTATAATTGCAGAATTATCAACATTAGCAGAAGAGAAAATATGTTCTCTAAAGTGTTGTGACGGAATTTTAATCATCAAGTCGAATATGTTAAATATGATAGTTCAAAGAGTATTTATTATGTGTAAGGCCTAGCGAAGATCAATATGTTTTAAATGTTCTATTCAACTCTTTTTAATCAATTAATTTGAAATCTTTAAGGTACATGGCGGTACAACGAAGAAACACATAGTTGAGAAAGTGAAAAAAGCTGAAGAAACAGCAAAAGAAAACTGCGAGTCCAATGGGAGTCACATATTTACAGTTTTGTTCTTTGATGAAGCGAACACTACCGAAGCCATTGGCAGTATCAAAGAAATTATGTGTGATGGAACGATTGACGGAAGACCAATTAATCTGAATGAGAATCTTAAACTTGTTGCTGCATGCAATCCTTACAGAAAGTAAGCGATGCCTTGTTTAATGTAGCCAAAGTTAGGCAGAAGGACAGAAGTTCTTCATACTTGTACAATTTATTTTGTTTTGAGATTTTAACTTGGTTTTTAGACACCCAGAAGAGATGATTGCAAGGCTAGAAAAAGCGGGATTAGGTTATCATGTCAACGTAGAGGAAACAACTGATAGACTCGGTATGCTTTCCTTGAAGAAAATGCCAAGTTTCTATCATAAGTAAAATGCTGACCAATACCCTTGCATATCTACAATTGTTCCAATCTAAAGTGATTAAAAACTTAATTCTCACCGTCTAGATAATGAAATCCTGCGTCCTGTCTATTAAGAAATTTAGATTGTTTTGGATGTAATTGCTATTCTACATTTTATATTCCATTTTCGTATTTTGTGATATATTTTTAATCTTTTACTATTTCTAAGACTCTCAATTAAGCATAAAAATGTTGTTATTCCTCTTGTGTTGTTGCAGAGATCGATATATTAGAAATTCATTTTATTAGGTCGCATACCAATGAGACACCTTGTGTACAGAGTCCAGCCTCTTCCTCAAAGCATGATCCCATTAGTATGGGACTTTGGACAGTTAGATTCTACTGTAGAAAGACTCTACATTATACAAATGTTGAACCGATATGTACGTAATATTTCGGAAATAATTTTGATTCCTGACTTTAGCATCTTAATGATCTATTAAGCTGTAATTCCTACTCATATGGACACACAGAAGCACTATAAGAATTAAAATATTTTTTTTTCTCTGTTATTCCATAAATCATAAATCTGGTTGTTCTGCTTGGTATTGTTCATAATTAAATTAAAATGTCTTTAAAACTTCTTACAAAATCTAATAATAAATTTGTCTCGTTTTGTTACTTAGAAAAAATATAGCAAACTCAGCTCTTTTAGTCGGTCAATACATCGATATATCAACTTCGTGCTCAGTCGATATGCTTTTCATTGAAGTTTATATATATCTGTGGATCCACCTCATAAAAGAGCTGTATTTGTATTAAATAGATAATTATCTTGTTTGGTTTACTATTTGATATTTAATTCTTTTCTTTTTTCCTTTTGCCTTAAATCCAAAATTTTAGATGCAAAATGGTACGATTCCTAGAACAAATGCAGGGAGCAAAATAATTCTTGCAGATATTTTAACGGCATCTCAGGATTACATGCGGGATTTACAGGTACTTTTCCTGAATTTCCAATACCGTAGACAATCTACATTTCATTCTTCCATATCATTTTATTTGACAATTGGAATATTTAAAATGTCCTTATGGGTCGGTTTTTCTTTTGTAGAAAGTTCCCCCTCCCCTTCACATCTCCGTTAACTGTAGCGTTGCTAGTTTTTGGTTCATTTACAGACTACAATTAAAAAAAAAAGGCAAAAACAAAAAATAGAGCCCCCAAAAATGAGACAGAAGACGCACGTATTTTTTAAAATCAACATATATTATGTTTCATCCTTTGTCCTATGACAGATAACGTTATAGTTTTGTAGCAGTATTTCACAATGTGCATGTTTGCTATGAATGAAATAATCTTGCAAGAAACGTAAAATCGCACTATGCGAGCATGATTTTTAGCGTAAGAGTATACAATATGCTACTTAAAATTAGAAACACAGAACAAATAAAAGATATTAATTTATGTTCAATAATATCTAAAGTAGTGTCTAAATTTTAGATTTTATTTAAATAGGATGAGTGCAGTTTTGTGAGCCTTAGAGATGTCGAAAGAACTTTGAAAGTATTTGGCTGGTTTTATAACCAAACGAATCTTTTTGAAGAAATGGATCAAATCATTGACAATTTTTCTGATTCGGACACAGAATCATCAGAAGATGAAGAGGTTTTTCCTACATTTGTAAACAGGGGTTTGAAGGTACTGATCAAACTGTATAATTAGAACATTTTTTTCCATTTATGAGTCATAAATAAACCAGGTAACGATCATTGTATGATAATAATGTAGAGTTTTATTTCTTTCTTGAAACAGTTTGATTTCTTAACAGGAGTAAAATATATAATTACTTTTTTCTTATGCAAAGACAAGAGACGATGCCAGGATTATAAGATCAGTAATACTTGCCCTTGGAGTGTGCTATCACGCATCTTTGAAGAATCGGGAAGAGTACAGAAATTACATTGCTGGATATTTTAGACATCCATTGAATCTTCAAAGGGGTGGAAGACAGATAGAAAGAGAAATAAAAAAGTAAGTATGATTTATATCAATAGTTTGAATTAATTATCTAATTTTTTGATGAACAAATTATTAATTGTTCTTTTCTTGTAGATGTCAAAGAATATTCCTCGAGAAAGTGAACTTGAATGAAAACATTGCTAAAAATATGGCACTCCGAGAGAATTTTTTCATGATGGTTGTGTGCGTTGAACTTGGCATACCTTTATTTCTTGTTGGAAAGCCAGGAAGCTCAAAGTCTCTCTCAAAGTCTATACTAGATCAAAACATGCAAGGAAGAGAATCCCATTCGGATCTATTCAAAAATTTCAAACAGGTGAACATTTGCTACTTTTGTATTTATATGTATACCATACATTTTCACTTACAGTCTCATATTTTAAAAATCCATGCATTACTTTGCACATGTTTAACAGAATGTATTAATATTTAAAACAAATACTGTTCCAAGGTTCAAATCATCTCCTTCCAATGTAGCCCTTTGGCAACTGCTGAAGGCATCCTAAAGACATTTCAACAAGCTAGTAAGCTGCAGGAGAACAAAGACCTACGCAGATTTGCCTCTGTTGTCGTTCTAGATGAAGTGGGTTTAGCAGAAGATTCTCCGAGAATGCCTCTCAAAGTACGCTTTACTAAAATGGAAAATTGATTGACTACTGATTGATTGTATGTTGTTTTATGTACCGTTCGAGAATTTTTTACTCATAGACTTTAAATTTAGACCTTTACTCGGCACTCAGGTAAACTGAGCAATGAGGGTTCTTTATCGTGCCAACACTTACCGTTACACAGGGCTTCGTTTTTAAGGTCACAACGTTTTAAGGGGGTCATATTTGAAAACCTATTTGTTAAATTTTATTGCATAGAATTTGAACAATTCAGAGAAAATGAATTTAATTTCTCACAACAATTTTATGTTTATTAAATACAAAGCAAGATTTGTATTGAAACCGTGCCTTCTTCTCAACACAAAACTACAAAAAGCGCCGGTCAAAATTTGCAGCTCTCCACCAGCAAATGGTGGGGTCTCCATTTAAGTGAAAAATTATCGAGAAGGACGTTAAACAACAAACAAACATAAAGCGCCTAATGTAATGATCTCCCTTTATTACAACTTGAAATATATCCACTTATCATTAGTATGAGTACGTAAAGTGAGGAATCATTCTATCGGCATTTACAGTGCAAGATTTGTTTCTATTGTATTCGTACACAAATGAAATTTCTCCAGAAGCTCACGTATTGGTTTTCTCCATTAATTGCTACGTCGGTTGACGACGTCGTTTACAAACATTTATTATCCACCTCGCAACTTTGAAGTTGGAGAAGAGGATATAGTAGATTTAGTAACGCGTTTGGGTCAGCCCGTGGGTTATTCGGTCTGTTCCTAGCAGAAATGGTAATTCATATCGGGATCGACGTGATCTAATGCTAGGGGTTGCTCCTCGTAAAATTTACACTGCCTTTTTTCCTATATGATTTTAGGTTTAAAATTTTTAAGTTTTAAGGTTCACAAAATAGCAAGAAAAAAAAAACAAAAAAATACAAGGTTTATTTAACCATTGAAATATATCGAAGCGAAGGGTGGTAAAATTTCTTCAATTAATTTGAAATATTTGTTGTGCTGATCTAATACTTTGCATCCCATACACATTTAGAGTCTTTACCATTTTGATAGGCACTTCATCCGCTGTTGGAGGATGGATGTCCAGACGATGAGGAGTATCAAGAACACAAAAAAGTAAAATATATTAGCAGAATAAATGTGAACTTAATCTAATACGATGTAATACAGCGAATATTATACGAAACGAAGTATGAAAGTGGTAGCATTTACAGCTTATAATTTTCAAATTCGTTTTATTAAAAGCCAATCATTAAACTGAAAATTGCTCATAAAATCACTGTAATGGTATCTAGGTATTGCAGTAGGAAAAATTTATGACATTTTGATTCAGTGAATAATTTCAAATAAAGATAAACCCTTACTTGCATAAAAAATAAATAATTCGACCGTTGTAGGTTGCATTCATTGGGATATCCAATTGGGCCCTTGATCCAGCCAAAATGAACAGAGGGATTTTAGTACAAAGGGAAGTTCCAGATGAAGAGGAACTAATTGCAAGTGCAAGGTAAATGAAATATGCATTAATATATGTTTTGTTGATTAATTTTCTTCCTTCATGATAAGCAGATTGGACTGTATATTAAAATTATGCTCATTTTTTTTATTTAGAGGAATTTGCTCTACAAACGAGGAAGTACGGGAATTATTGGAGGGTATCATTCCTAAATTGGCAAAGGGTTATCTCCAAGTTTTCCAGAAAACAATAACTACCGGTGTATTATTTGGTACAACTTCCAGAGACCATTTAAAAGCAAGGGAATTTTTTGGATTACGCGACTTTTACAGGTAAAATCTGCACAAAAATCATCGAATATATTTCGGATATGTTGCTTTCCAGAGAGTGAAATATATATTCTATCATTTTTAGCTGAAAGCAGCCAAAGACAAAGAGTATCCTGCCTCCGTCTGTCGCCTGTAAACTTTTAACATTTTTTACTTCTTTTCAAGAAGGCACTGGGTCAATTTCAGCCAAACTTGCCACAAAGCTATCGTCGAAACCCACGGGTTTTCTTTCCGTTACACTACATTTAACGTTGAATGTAGTGTAACGGAGAGAAAACCCGTGGGTTCCGACGATGACAACAAAGCATACTTGGATGTAGGGAGTTTGCTCACAGGAAGCGCAAACCTTCCTTCAAGGGAAGATAAAAATTCCTGAAAATTTGGTGGCATTTTTCAAAACTCCTCTTGTCAAGAACCATCGGGCCAAAAATTATGAAAAAAGCTTCATAACATACTGTAGATTCAGGATTCAAGATTCTTCAAAACATGACCCCTGGTGGTATGATGGGGCCACAACAGGTGATCAACGGAATATATAGGAAAAAATCTTGAATTAAAAGGTCTTCTCAAGAACAGCAGAGACATGGACAGTAATATTTATAATCAGGTAGTGTAGAATCAAGATTGTACAAATCATGGCTCCTAGAGGTACGGTGGGCTAAAATGGGGGATCAAAGTTTAACATAGGAATATATAGGCAATGTCTTTATCCCAGGAATACCAAAGGCTTGATTAGTCATACTTATATGGAAGCAACCTCAGGAAGTGTACATTCAAAGTGTTCAAATCATGACCCCTTGTGGATATGGGTAGGATGGGACCACAACAGGGGTCATAGTTACTCAGGTGAACGCTGTGGAGAATGGACCTCTTGTTAGTTCATATGAGACAAAGGTTATTCATTTATAAATCAGTACGTCTTACATTTGTTGATAAGAAGATGGTGACACTAGTGGCCTTTGGGCCTCTATTGTAATCTATAATTAAGAATGCCATTCTTAAATTTACAAACCTATTACAATATGTATTAAAGCTTAGTAAAAATGATGTTTGCCATCGCTTCCCGGTCGATGGAAATTCCAACACCAAAGGACATTGCATATGTTATAAGAAGAAATTTGGGAGGGCTACAAGGCCTCGATCCAGTTGCGGAGTTTTCAGAATGTGTTGATGAGCTGCAAGAATTTCAGGTAAATAGCTAATTCATATCATCAAGGTTTCAAAAAAAAGATTTATGTATTACATGTACTATCCATTTAGTTATATTTGTTTTAAATTTGAAAGGGACATGATTTATGTTTATTATAGAATGAAGATGATGGTTTTGCAGCTGATGTAGCTTTGGTACGAAAATGTCTAGAACACGGAAATGAGGACAGGTAAGTAAAATGTACTACACACCTTCATTCCCTACAAACTGGACACTAAATATCATCCCGAGAGCAATGTAATTTTAAGAGGCATTTGTTTTTCATTCTTTATTTTATTCTTTAGAAATTTGTGTGTAAATGCAACGCTATACACAAAGATTTTATTTAATTACTAATGGTCGCCCGCGTGGCGCAGTGGTTAGAGCGTCTGCTCCAGAGTAAGGAGCTGACCCTTCGTCGCGGGTTCGGATCCACTGAGGGACGTGGAGACCGGTCCTTCGGATGAGACCGTATTAACCGAGGTCCCGTGTCGCAGTAGGTGTTGGCATGAAAAAGATCCTTCACTGCTCACCGGCCCTGAGTGCTGAGTTTAGGTATAAATTTGCAGCCCTCCACCGGAAAGTGATGGCGTCTCAATATGAGTGAAAAATTCTCGAGAGGGATGTTAAACAAGCATTCTGAGAGTATTGCATTAGCAATACTAGTCCCCTACCGGCAAGTGTAATCTGGTTCCCGTTAAAAATTGAAAATGCCATAATTCTGTCAAAAATCAATGAAGCGGAACGAAATGCAAACTTGATCTGTAACTCATCAAGGTTGAGTCACATACCAAAAATCAGCTCAATATCTGTAAGCGTTTCGAAAAAAAAAAAATGCGGAAAACCCTGAAAAATTGAAAAGGTCGTAATTCCGTCAAAAATCATTGAAGAGGAACGAAATGCACACTTAATCTGTAACTCATCAAGATACACTCGTATACCAAAAATCAGCTCAATATCTGCAAGCGTTCAGAAAAAAAGTGCGGAAAACCAAGTGGGACAGACAGATAGACAGACGGACAGACGGACGGACAGACTCTGAGGAAACCTATAGTCCCCTCCGGTTTCACCGGTAGGGGACTAATAACAAACAAACAAAACCCAAATAATTGGTAATTTTTTCATCATGTGTGTCCAATAAAATTATGTAAATTATATTAATTCATTAAACTAACAAATGCAAGTACAAGTGTTTAAACGAAAAACATTACAAATTTTTATGGACATATTGGGCAATAATCAAATTGAAATTATATTCTGTGATGGAGAACATAAAATAGCGCTTAGTTTAAACCAGTTTTGATATTTATTACATTTTTAGCAACAAAAGACTGTAATTTATTTAAGGACTTAAACTGCCAAAGTTTCTTCAAATCAAATACGTTGTTGTGTAATCTGTGTTTGAAATGTTTTCAATCTTGCAATCGCTAACGTATAACGACTCAACCGTTCAATTATGACGTTAGGGTCTACGACACTGTATTACAAAAAGACAAAGGTAAAGAGGGAAAATATAACAAACAAAAAATTCGAAAAAATATTTTGTAATGGATTTGGAATTTATTTCATGCTTGAGAAGATTTTTTTTATTTTTTATTTTTTATTTTTAAAAAACAATTAACACACTCGTGAAATAAATTCCATATCCAACAACTACAAAAGAATGAATGACCTCTGTGTAGTACATATGAAAAGCAGTAAAATGTGGCAGATTACAACTATTTTCCAAATTTCTTTGGTTTTGCAAATTTCCTTCAATTCTTCAATTTTCCACACGTGAAAGACTTCTTACAGATTAAGATTAAGACAATTTTAATTATTTTAGTGAGTCACGTTATGTTCTGCTGCTGACGGAAAATTACAGTGCCCTTACCTTGCTTCAGCAGTTACTTACAAACAATGAAAATACACAAATATTGTTTGGCTCTAGCTTTCCAAAGGACCAGGAGTACATCGAGGTATATTATTTTTTAGTGAAATATTTCAGTGTTGAAAATGTAAAGAGTTGTATGGAAAGTCTTGAAAATTCGTTTGTTTGTAGATTTGTCGGAATATAAATAGAATCAAAGTCTTCATGGAGACCGGGAAGACAGTGGTTCTGTTGAATTTGGAAAATCTTTATGAAAGCTTGTATGATGCATTAAATCAGGTACCCTTATTTAAAATGCACCCTTTTCTTCTACAAAACAGGCTGTAACTCACTTGATTTTACATTGCAACACTTATTTATTGTTTCAATAATTAGAACTCTCCATTTATATTTATTCTCTCTAGTATTACATGGAAAGTGGCTCCGAAAGGTTTATTGACTTAGGACTTGGAACTCACAGAGTCAAGTGCAAGGTGGATAGGAACTTTAGGTACAAGATAATGATTATTTTGTCGATGCAAAATGGTGCTTGATAATGATTTAAATAAGCTGAATTGACCTCAAATATAAAGTTCTTTGAAGTTTAAGTATGCAGATAAGTCATGTATACCCATATCATCAAACTATATTCTGTAGACTTATAGTTGTGGCAGAGAAAAGAGTTGTGTATAAGGAATTCCCCATACCACTGATAAATCGTTTGGAAAAACACTTTCTCACCATGGAAGGACTTTTAACAAATGCTCAATTGCGACTTTCAAAAGAACTTTCTCTCTGGGTGGAAGAATTTTCTGCATGTTCCAGACAAAGTATTGGGTAAATAATTAATCCTCTTCAGAACTGACAATAGCTTTCCTTCAGCTTTGCAACAATGTTTGTGCAATTACAAATAATTTCAAACTAACACTCTGATGATTTAAAGTACAGATTATTTACCAAAAAGCTTTGGGTAAAATAAAACAATACTATATATGATCATGATGATCCTAAGTATACATCTTCATCTTAATCTAACATCAAATTAACAACACGAAAATAAATATTGAAACAAATACTGTTTGTTAAAGGGAAAATATATATCATTTGTATCATTTATATCATTTTGATCATTTTGTATCATTTATATCATTTTGAAACTCTAAAAAATAGATAATATAATGTCAATTTTGAAATTTGTTTGGTTTAAACGTTCCCTCCTTTTTAAAAAGTTTTCCAACAACCTATAATGAAACAAATAATGATTTACAATGTGTATTCAATGTTTTTTGACATGTTAAATCCTGCAGTCCAGAGGAAGTATTCATCGGTTACAATCAAGACACATGCCCTGGAATCATTCTTCAATCATGGGATCTTTGCGCAAAAAAACATGCCAATGAAGACGACGATTTTATGGAGGTACTGGTTTTCTTAATACTAGTTGTAGGAAGACAGAGAATTTATAGTAGTTTTGACCACGAGAAGAATAAATAACTTAAAGCTTAAACTTTTCTTCTTATTGTTATACAAATATATTGAAAATAATTAATGTATTCACCATATTTATCAGATTTTACGAATATTGAATTTATAGGAGGTGCTCCAAACAGCAAAATATTTTTTGCTCTGGAGTTGTACGCCAGACGCTCTTTTCCGTCTTCAACTCAGTAGTCTGAGCATGTTTAGAGAGGAATATATTCACGTTTACTTTGATCAACAATGCCATGATAGTCTGTGTTCTTTTTTACATCATCGTATTGATGAAGAAACATTCAAAGGCCATTTCATCCAGGTGATATTTTTATACGTTTAGCATCTATGTATACAAAGTTCATGAATGAATGGAAGAGTTTCAATCAATTCTATTTCATTGCTCATTTTGTGGTTGCCCTCTGTCGAAAAACAAAATAAGACATGTTAACACCAAATTAAATACAGGGAAAGTATGGGTGGACTTTAAAAAAAGGAGATATCTGGTGAACATAAAAACTTGAGATTAGAAATAAAATATTCTATAGCAAAAGAATGATAGAATCATTACGCACGAGAAAAATTGTTATTATAGTATACATTATAATAGGTACAATATTTTGAAGATTTATTACCTTGTATCGCCCGTTTCTTCACCTGAAACTCTGAACTGAGAGAATGTTTCTGATTTCCTAATGTTCTGCTCTTAATCACAACAAGGTTTTAGATCTGTTGTTTGAACAACTTCGAACCGTACAACATCAACTCCTCAGGGACATTAATAAATAATTCCATACAGAAACAGCAGAAAATCCATTTATCTATAAGACTTGTTGCATAGATTATGTTCCAAGTAGCTGAAGTTTGGAATAGATAAAACACAAACCCCTCTAAAATTCAAAAGGTGGGATCAGGTGCCCAGGAAGAGTAAACATCCCCTGCTGACTGGTAACACTCGCCGTGAGCCCTATGTATTGATCAAGTAAACGGAACGTTTCGTAGTCAAATTTATTACAAACACAATCGACCCAGTGATAGGTTATATTTGATAATAAAGTCATTGTAACCACCATAGAATTTACAAAATGCTGACTTTAAACGAGATTGTTGAAATCCCTGTAACATCAACATGAACATAACATCAATATAAAGTTCGTGGACAACAACGTTTTTTGTCAAACTGAATGGTCTCAGATATTGTATGCCGAAAATAGTTTGATTTTGATTATTTTAACTTAACATAAAAAAAAATCACGATTTAATCTTTCGCAGATAGTGTGCACGGTCCACAGTAAAATGTGATAAACTTTAAATGAAGCTTTGAGATTAAAATTATTATTTTCTCATAATAATTTTATATATCGCAAAAAAGCCCAACCGTCATCATTGTCTGATAGATATGATAAGTATCGCTTATGTAAGAATTAGTGAAAATTTTCAGAAAAAAAAAACACGAGAGCAACATGTTTAAAAAATTACGTAAAAAAACGACGTAAAAAAAAAATGAATGGAACAGCGTCCAATCAATGTATTTTAATATGGCTGAAACGATACTGTACGATAACACTTGAAATGTACTAAATTCAGGTCTATATTTGAATATTTAAATACATGTATTATCGCATACAGTTTGCAATTGCAAATAAAGAAAAAGAAACGAGTGTTTACGAACATTTAATCACCTGCTACGGAGTTATTGACAAACAAGTTGATGAAACAAGAATATCAGCAGTCTCGTTTTAAGTCGCCATTTCGTAAGTTCTATGGTCGATACAATGAACTTGTCAGCAAATACAATCTATCATTAAATCAAATGACTTTTTTCATACTAATTGTTAGGCCATTATTTACACACTGATTTCCCGATCATGACAAGGAGTACATGTCGGGTGTGACCGGTCGGCAGGGGTTGCTCACTCCTCCATGGCAACTAATCCGACCACTGATGTTTTAGGGGTCCGTGTTTGCTATGCTCAAAAATTTGTATTGTTTAATGGACTTTAGAGCTTGAATACTGTTTGTTATCTCCATACATTTCTCTTAGCTATACTGCTTGCATATACAAAGTATTTACATTTAAAACTTTCGTTAAATAGTGTGCATTGTTTTAATTTCTATATATTTACTAAAGCATGGTCTATATTAAAATACTGTTGTAAACGTTAGGTAGTGTGGTCATTATAAAGAAAATTATAGCATTTGTCTACAAACTTTACGGACAACACTCATATTTTACTATAATTATGTATCTATAGGTTATATCTGAAATTATTCTACTTTTCCACTAGGTCACTACTCATTCCAAGTTGCTCTCAATGGAGGACAAACAGGACATAGAAAACAATATTCCAATGTTAAAAGGGAAAATAGCTTTGCTGTCTTTGCAAGCTTTTGGAACAGAACAACAATTTTCTCGACAAATCAGGTACTTTTTATATTAATGTGCTGAAATATGATTATTATTTTTCGTTGATTTAGACAAAACATTAATTTTATAATTATTGCTTGACAGAGAGATTGCTCATGAACAATTTGAACTCCTCATTATTCAATGTGACACGGGTGATGAGAATTCTAATCTGGTGTCATGTGCACGACATTGTGTTCAAAGGGAAATGAACAGCTCTCGAGAAACTTGCATTATATTCCTTGTCCATCTTTCTCGAGTGTGTAAAGTGTATTTTACAGGTTTTCAGGTTAGCATTTTGTATGACATAATTGTTTTATATCTTCTTTATATCTTTTAGCCACAAGCATGCTTTGGATGTTTGCTTCTTTACACTGAATTCATAACATCTCTACACGTTCAGACTTAATTTTATAACAAATTACATTTGCTGGCATAGGAATTTTTTTTTCTTTTGTGAAAAAAAATGAAATGTTTTGATTTAATCTTTTTAGACTGGATTATGGAGTTCTGTCCACATCGATGACCTGCGTTTATCAACATTGCCGAGTGCACAAAAGCTATTAGGAATGACTCTTTCAGAATTATTAAATGAAAGTCTTAAAATACATTCAGATGGTGGAAAAAAGGTGCGATATTTAAAATGACACGAGAAAGAGGGAAAACTTAAGTCTAAATTTAGATTTATTCATTCTTTGTGATTATTTTTGTCAGAAATAAGATAACAAAAATTAAAGTAAATTTACTAAAATACCAAATGTTAAACAATACAATTTCAAAAACAGGAGTATAAAGTAGACATGCGGAAACTTTTTCTCGACTGTCTTCATCCGGCATTAGCATCCATCTCGGACATGTCAGAATCTGGTGAAACATCTATTGACAGAGTAAAAACCGTATTTGCCTTACTGGAAAAAGAACAGGATTTAACACAGGGTAGGAAAATATGTACCATATTTTGAAAAGTAAACATATCTGAGACAAGCTTATTTCTTAATCTTTTATTATTTTATTCTTTTAAGGACAATTTGGATATGGCGTTATGCAGCATCTAGTGAAAATATTATCTTTTGAGGAGGAAGACGTGTCTATGTATGATCATTCTACCTTAATTCAAAGAGCTGCAACCATAGGAAACATAACCAAATGTGGTACTTTAAGGTATAATCTGCATGCTTGATATTTTAAACAAAAGAAGTGTTAAATAAGTCGCAGAATTTATGCACCATTTAAGAAATAAATAATCATTTTTAAACTTTTATCGGGATGTAAATATATATAGTTCCTGAGATCAAATCCCATAAAACCTGGAGGGCTTTAAGGTAGATTTGATCACATACCAATCCGAATCAATTAATGCAATTTACAGGAATGATCTTATGCTTATAGAATGCAGCAGCGGTTTATACATGATTAATTTGGCAAATTGAATAAGTTTGAAAATTAATTCGATTTTAAAGTAAATTGCACAATTTTTACGAAAATTTGTACTATTCCTAAACGATCTTTAAAATATGTATGCAGAAACTTCCTTTTCATCAATCTGAAGTTAAAGAAATCTCAAATAACAAATACTAACATATTAATTGAACAGTCAGGTAATCACTGCCCCGCAGGACCTGACATGCCTTGTTACTTGATTCTTTTCACACATACGGTCATCATGACCTTTCCTTGTTGCCAGCTTTACAATAGACAACAGCTGCATAATTTTCATTACATTTATTAAAGACTTGAACAAAAACATATACAATCTTGCATTACTCATAACTGTGATGGACATAAGGGAATTGGCATTAAATGGCCGCATTGCATAAATGTACAATCAAAAAATAGGGTCCAGGAGGGATAGCTGGCATACCGACTAATAAGTACCGGGCAAAACCAGTGGCCCTGTGTTGGTCACAGATGCCCGAGATCCCAAATTTAGGTACTAGACATTAGGGACCCAGAGATTTGCGAGCACATCTGTATACCCTGCTTCTGGAGATTGCTTCTGGTCAGCAGTACTTTTACACCCAAGTACTCCAGCACTAAGCCTCCCCTCCTGTTACAAGAGGTGGAGGGGGCCCCAGGCCTGCAGACTTGGCTACGACCCCAATCGAAAACTTTTTACTTGACTTTTTACTTGACTTTTATTACACATTGCCATAGGTTGGATACTTTGTAGACAACCTGTCTACCCAACAATGTGCCCACCAACTTGTCTGATGGCTGGGCAGGGAAACAACGAGCCAGATGTGTTCGCAACCCTCCCACTCATCCCTCCGGACCCGCCACAGACATCGATATGATGTTCCTCCATTACTTTACATTAAGGGATATCATACTTTTCCCTTCCCTTGAATGAGGGACCACAATCCACTTTTTATGTTATTTAAGAAAGTTCCGTTGCCAAGCTCAGAGAGGTGTGTACCATCAAATCTAAACAATTCCGGATTAGCAACGGATATGTTTGCATGTGAAATTACACCCCCACCCATTTCTGCGATAAATTTTGAGATATTTTTGTTAATTCTTTTACGTTTCTTGTCTATCTTTTTCCACTGTTCAATGGAGCTCCATGCCAATAACGGCGTGGAAGAATGTGTGACCACACCAGTTTAGTATTTGGGAGAAGAGCATTATATCGCAGGAAGCTGCATTGAATCTCTTGTATGAATTTTTTGCTAGTTAAGTTTGGAGTTACCGATGTCTGTAGTCCTAGTAGGCATGGGAATGTTGTTGTGAACCAAGTTACATGATCCTTATGTATTTAAGAAAAGCTACTGATTTCCATCTACCAAACTTCTGAATTTCAGAATCGGATGTGCCCTGTAATGCAAGGTCTGTTGCCCTCCCAATTCGAAAGCTGTGTGTGCCAAAATGGCCTGGTGTTGGTATTATGTTTTCAATAGCCTTTTGAAGGACTGCGTTGAATTGGTATCTCGTCAATGGTTTTGTATTAAGATGAATTAGAAAACTGTGGTTAACAGGGGTATGGGGCCTACACTCGATAAAATCCAAGGTAGCTTTAACTGGGCACAGGGTAGCAAGTGGCTGGCTATGGATAATAAAGGTGGTATTCTTACCCACCTGGTCAGTTTTGGAGTGTGGTATGGTTAACCTTAAATAGGGCTTGTGTGGATGTGCTTGAATGTGTTTGAGTTGTATGCAATGGGATGAATTCGGTGTGTTTGAGTTGACTGAAGTGAATTCCCCTACGCGAAGTAATGCAAAGTATGCTAATGAAAAAGCACATGTGAACAGTTTGACCTCGTAAGTGGAGCAACACACTGACTGTAGTGATATAACAAGCTTTTCCAAAATTGGTAGGGTTATTGGGAGGCGGCTGTCTGGAACAACTCTGTTGTTGCGCTTTAAGCCTTGAAGTGCTTTGTTAATTTGGAAGGACTTGGTAGGGTCAGGAAGATGGTTTATTTTGTGGAAGTATGACAATGCACTAATGTAAAGGGACACTGAATTGGCTGACATTTTTTGGATGGATAGGTAGGCTATAAAATATAGTAATATGTTGCTGTGCAGGGGCCAGGTTTGCTGTAAGCCATAAATGTTTAAAAATGATTGGAATTTATTCAGTGCAGCCCGGTAAGCTTTGTAGGTGTTTTGTGACAAGGAGCTATGAATAAGGCGTTTGGACTCAGCAATTAGATTTCCCATATCTGCTTGGGGAGCTGTGTGGGCCACATCTCTGCCTCTGGAGCCAGGTTGCGAAACTTTCCCCACCATGAACGAGAAATACTGTCAGCTATTTTGTTCAGTTTTGTTGGGATGTGTTGGGCTTTAATTGTAATGTTATGTTGCAAAGTGAGGAGAACAAGTTTTCTGACAGTGTTCATTACCCTTGTTGACTTAGATGTCAATGTGTTAATGACTTGTACAACTGCCATGTTGTCAATGTGGAAAAGTATGCGTTTGTTTGATAACCATGGGTGCCATAACAGGAGTGAAACATATACTGGAAATAGTTCTAAGAATGTCATGTCACGAATAACGTCAGAAAACACCCAGTGGGTAGGCCATTTTGAGTGAGCCCAGCGGCCAGCAAAAAAGATTCCAAACCCCCCAATAAACCCCCCTGCACTATGTGTGAATAGCTGTAGACTGTTATCTGATGACCAAATACCGGAGCATATGACTGTGACCCCATTAAAGTGTTTCAAAAATTGCTGCCATACTGCAAGGTCTGCTTTCATACCTTGATTAACTCTTATCATGTGATATGATTTTTTGATGCCAATAGTGGCATCAACTAGTCGCCTGCAAAAGGCTCTGCCAGGTGCTACTGTTTTGCAGGCAAAATTGAGGAAGCCAATCAGTGATTGTAAGGCCTTTAAGGAGACCTTTTTACTTATCATGACTGTTTGAATGCTTTGTCGGAGAGAAACTAACTTGTCTTGCGGAAGTAGCATTACCATGTGGATTGTGTCAAATTCAATTCCTAGAAAAATTATTGTTGTGCTAGGCTCGGTGGTTTTGTCAAGAGCTATTGGTATTCCGATATGGCTACAGATATTTTTGAAAAGGTCGAGGGTAGATTGGCACTGATTAGAATTTGGTGGTCCCGCAAAGAGAAAATCATCTAAATAGTGTAGAATATGGGGGTTACGTGAGCTAGATTGAATGATCCAATGTAATGCAGTTGCGAACTTCTCCCATATTGCGCAGCTAATGGATGCACCGAATGGCATCATTTTGTCAAAAAAGTATTTACCCTGGAATTTAAACCCCAATAGATCAAAATCATTTTTGGCCACAGGAATGAGCCGGAATGCAGATTTTATGTCGGATTTAGCCAATAAAGTACCTGCCCCCAGTGTCGAGATGATGGCTGCTGCGTCGTCCACTGATGCGTAGTGTACTGAACATGCAGCTGGATCTATAAAGGAATTGATCGATTGATGTTCTGGGAAGGACAGGTGATGGATGAGTCTAAAATCTCCATCTTTTTGGGGACAAGTCCTAATGGTGAAATTTGAAGGGATGGGAATGGTGGGTATTCAAATGGTCCCCCTACCCTCTGGAGCAGGAGTTCTTTATGTATTTTGTGTTCCACTATACTGGGGTTTACTATAGCACTTTTTAAATTTTTTGATTCCCTGTAAATTCTTGGGCCATTGTACTGGAGTTGAAAACCATGTAGGAAACCGTTTATGAGAAAAGATTTAGCACTGTAACCTTGTAGATAAGTAGACAAATTGTAGACATCAATTGGAGTTTTTCCTAAACTGTTGATATCCTCGTTAGAATCGTGTATTTCTATTCCTGCATTTGATTGAGGGGTGTGATCCGCCACATGAATTGCACGAGTGGACAAACCTGCAATTTGGGTAGAATTTGCATGACTTGCCTGAATTAAAATCATAACAGTAACGATTGGGTGCTGAATTTACATTTTTCTTAGCTGCTGGTATATTGGGCTGTTTATGTTGGGGGAAAAAATTTTGTGTGGGAGATATGGGCTTTTCTTGGGCCTGCATGGTGTAATTGTTGGTGACATGGATCAACCAGAGTTCAGAGTTTTTGATTCCCCAGGACGAGTGTGGGTCTGACACTTTGCGAAGCCGAAATTGTTCATCATATGTGAACCAACCATTCCCCGATCTGTCTGCTGCCATTCTTACATCCCTCATATATTTCAAAAATTCTTGGGCTCTAGATCTATATTTTTCTAACATAATACTTGTGAAGATGATGAAGGCTGAAGTCCATTTTTCAATTGACAAAAAGGTGCGGGGTTTATGCTTCACAAGGCACATTGTGCCGTTGCGTATTTGTATTTGGCCTTGTGTATCTAAGTGATCTGAGATTTCCCGCGCCGATTTTAGAAGTATGGATAGATCGACAAATTTTCCCTCCCAAATTTTTTGTTTAATTTTTAGTGGAACATGGGCGCTAATGGGATCTAAAGAACTGGGGGTTTGAGCAGGTTGGTAATCCGCAATGCTAAATGGGGGGGCCACCGAATTCACTATTGTTTGTATGGTGTGTTAAGGCATCTACTGTGGGGAGCAAAATGTCACACTCACCCGAGATGTTGCTCAACGTCTCCTCGTCTTGGCCCTCCCGACGTCCTGTGGGTTTGTATTCGTAAGCCTCGTGGGTTGATTCCGCCACCGTTACTGTGGCTGGGGACGTTGATGTTGCAGTACTGGTCCGGTTTCCCCTAAGTCGTGGTCTTGTGTAGGTGGGATGTCCCGCCTCGTGTGTGGACCGCTTGGATCTCCTTCCTCGCCCTCTGCCCGGCGAAACAAAATTACGATCGCGCTCCTTTCTGGAGCGTGAGGTGATCGTCTGTCTAACTGGCGGCATAGTTGAGTCCAGGTAGCGTGTAAAATGGGTTTGACTTCCGTCGGATGATTGCGATAATAATTTTGATGTGGATCTCCTGCCTCACCCTGTTGCTGGATGGCGGGAAAAGGAAGTGCCATCAATTAATCAACTCGTACCAATACGAGTCTTTTGCCTTTTGGATTATAACCAATTCGTTCCACTATTAGTTTTAACGACATTGTAATGTGCTTCCGTCAATTAAATGAGATTAATTTGGTATAAGGGCAAATTAATCTGTCTTATTTATAATCGGTAATATATATATATATATATATATATATATATATATATATATATATATATATATATATATATATATATATATATATATATATATATTCTAGAATAAAAAGAAAAATTTATTAAAAAGATTTTTAAACAATAGTTTTGTCATAGTTAAGATTTGACACGATGGATATTTGTAGCAATTTTGAATTTTTTACTTAATTAATGGGTTATTTAATTTTTGCCACAGGTCAAGTTGCAGCAAAAGCATAGAGGGAAAAGTAGTACCGCTTTTAGCCAAGATTATCTGTTTTATGGACACGAACAACAACCTGCAAATTTTAGACAATGCCTGTGAGTGTAGCTGGATGTACATAGTTTGGATGAGATTGCTGTTTGCAGTTGATGCAAAGATTCTAAACAAACAAAGGGAACTTGTTACTCAGTCCACAGGAAAGAACATTGGATTCAAGTCAATTTTTCCATTTTCGTGGTTGCTCTTTGAAAACGTAGAGAAGATTCTGCAAAGTTGCTCTGAGAGTAAAATAGGTATACAGAAAGAAGTTTAGCTTTACGCTATCTGTTTTTGGCTTGATTACCAATGTATAATGATAAAATATATATTATCTGATTTTACATCGGTCTGATTTGCTGGTAAATTATAATATGATTTATAAGAGCTATGCCATGTGCGCACAATTCAAAGATCACTGGTGGAGATTGTAAATGATTTCTTTTACAGGGAATTCACCTGAGGAATTATTCATTCAGTCACCTATGGCTTTGATCATCAATGAAGTTATTAGGGGAAAAGATACGCTTCACGCAATGCAATTATACATATCCGATTTTGTCAATATGAAGTGCAAAACTTTTTCAAACAGAGAGAAGCAGGTCAGCTTATTTTTTTTCAGCTAATTTGATTAAGTTGCAGTGACTTTAATCAAAGTTGCATTTACCTTTTTTGTGTTCCTGAATGTGTTTAAAGTCTGATTTTTCTCTGTTGAGTTTTATATGGCAGTTTTCTGTCCAAAATTGACGTGCTTTAATTACCTCATTGAAAATTTAAGTCGACAAAGGACATGATCAAGATTTGCAGTCACTGTGGTGACTTCGGAAAATGATATAAACTGTTTAAACATCATTCAGGAATTTGATGAGATTTTTAATTATTATTTCAATTTGTATTGAAGCAGGATTCATATATGCACTTTGAAAACTCTAAATAAAAACAAGATTCTGAAAATTTATACATGTAGTGGTATTTTTAAGTAAAATATCAGTTAAAGGATAATCTTGAACAAAAGTTTTTTTTTCGAGTTAAAAAATAAATACTAGTATATTAATGTTTATTTTTAAATCATATATACTGTAAAAGAATGGGAAAGACATCGAGTTCAGTTAGCATAAAGTATACAAGTTTATATTATTTCTCATATATCCTTTCAGCTGATTTGTGAGTCCCTAATTGCTAACATGGAACAGAGATCAAAGGGAATTCCAGAATTATTGTCAGACTGTCTAGTGTGCATACATAGCGTTTTTAGAGGAATGGAATATTCTGTGAAGACCTTTTGTGACATTGCATCTCTAAACGAACATCTACAGGATGAAAAATTCTTTGAAAATGTCAATAACAGTTATCAGGTTCACAAAACTAATACAATTATACTAAACTTTTTCCCAACTGCACCTTGTTGATCAAAGAGTGTCCGGCGTCTGTCTGTTGTCCGTCGTCTGTTGTCTGTAAATTTTTCACATTTTCGACTTCTTCTCAAGAACCACTGGGTCAATTTCAACCAAACTTGATACAAAGCATGCTTAGGTGAAGATGATTCAAGTTTGTTCACAGGAAGTGCCTAGCTTTCTTTCAATGGGGAAATTCAGAATTCGTGAAAATTTGGTGTCATCTTTTAAAAATCTTCTCAAGAACCACAGGGCAAGAAAAGATTAAACTTATGTGAAAGCTTCATTACATACTCTAAGATTCAAATTTGTTCATATCATAACCCCCGGGGGTAGGGTGGGGCCACAAGAGAGGGTCGAAGTTTTACTTAAGAATATATAAAAAGTGTCTTTAAAATCTTTTTCTCAAGAACAGGTAAGCCAGTATAAAACATTTTAATACAGAAGTATCCTCATGAAGTGTACATTCAAGTTTTTTTTTTCAAATCATGACCCCTGGAGGTAGGATCGGGCCACAACAGTGGGTCAAGGTTTACATAGGAATATATAGATGTAATGGTTAATGGATAAATTGGAATTATCTTGAAAAAATCTTTTGCTCAAGAAAAGCAAAGCCATGATTTGTCATATTATTATAGAAGCATCCTCAGATAGTTTCAGATTTGTTCAAATTTACGTTGGGACCACAATGAACAATCAGAGTTTTACATAGGAATACATCGGGAAAAAATCTTTAAAATTCTTCTGTTTAAAAACAGCAAAGCCATGATTAGTGATATTGATGTACAAGCATCCTGAGGAAGTGTAAATAAAGTTTGCCTCCCCACCCCGCTCAAAACTTTTCAATACTGAACTGATTTCAGCGTCTTCTTAGCCAGTGTGCTCAGGTGAGCGATGTGGCTCATGAGCCTCTTGTTTAAATTCTCTTAGATGCTTGACATAGGATCTGTGAAATACCTTTTGGAAAAACTTAATCCCATAGATGCAATAGAAACACATGAAGGGCAGATAATTTGGATGCAGCAGTTTCAGATCTACAAACCTTTTATTGAAAGAATTTTACATCAAACAACTGAAAACCTACAAACAGGCAATCCTAGACGTCGATTTATTGAACAAATGAGGTATAATTTGACCTATTAAAATTTCAATGTTTCATTTGTTAAATTTTACTATTTACTTCGTTTTGATAGTTAATAATGTAATATTATGTTATTTTATCCCATTTCTTCAAAAAATTCATATAATATTATCATCCTGAAATTTTGCTTTCAAAAAGGTCAACATGGACAAAAATCACAGCATTGAAATTATACATAGAAAATATAGCAGGAGACGAGAGAAAAGATAAATTGATCAACCAAGACTGTAAATTTCTTTGGAAGGTAGTATTTTTATGTCTCAAAGATTGATTAAATGCTATTACTCCATATTTATTGGCTTTACATTGGGGAGCAATCATTTTAAAACTTTAACTTTTCGCACAGTATTATTATCAGATGAGTAAGAATATCTAGCAACGTGTTGGGAAAGACTTATTTGTGTCATTGATGTTTCCTTTTCAACTATTTTTCAGTTTCTTGGAGAAAATGCAAACTTCAAAACAATTGAAACATTAGAAAAATTTGAAAAATTTCTGAAGGCTTCCAACAAAAAAGCTATGAAGGACTTTTTGGAGTAAGATATTTTTTCAATAAATACTTACCTGTCTTGTTCCACGAAAATATCATATTCAACATTTGGGGATAATAATTACAAAAATCGATATATTTTCCTACTTGATTTGATGCCAATTAACCAAAGCAAACTGAAATTTTGATTTCAAATTACTCTATGAAATATATGGAGATAGCGAACAGTATTAAGCTCAAAATCCATTCAAACAAAACAAATCAGGAGCAGAGAGAACACGGACCTCTAAAACATCAGAGGTGGGATCATGTGCCATGGAGGAGTGAGCATCCCCTTCCGACCGGTCCTTGTCAAGATCGAGAAATAACGGAAAAATCCCTCAACAATGCGGTGCGTAAATAGTGGTCTAACAATTAGTTTGAAAAACGTCAGTCAGCATTTGACTTAATGATAGATTGTATTTGCTAACAAGGTCATCCACAATAGAACTTACGAAATGATGACTACTGTAAATGAGACTGTTGATATTCTTGTTTCATCAACTTGTTTGTCAATAAATTATAATTACTTCGTTTTAGAAATTTTTCGTAAATAGAGCATGCTCTTGCGTATCGAATCAACTGATATTACTATTTCATACTATTTCAGCAAATTTGGTAAATGTCATCATTGCAAAATACCCTTAAATTTATCACCTCCAATTATCCTTCCATGTGGTCACAAAATATGCAGAGAAAATTGTCAGTATATGATAATTACTGAAGAAGATGTGAAAAAGTGTCCAGAGTGTTTGATGGAAATTGAAAATGATGCAGAATATGACATGAATGATGAAGAAAGGTAAGACAATAGGTCTATCGAGATATCTCATTTATAACCTGTATTCCATGGCGCGCACATAATATATAACTTTCAATATACAATTGCGATGTCGCAAAAATCCGAAATTAACATTTAATTTACCTTTTCTTGCTAGTGAAGAGATGAAGCCATTTTGGGACTACCAGAAAAAGAGTAATAGGTTTTATATGCAAATTGTATCCCAACTATGCTTCGAAAACTCTTCAGCCCCAAGTGAAGAAGTTTGCAAAAGGCTTCTGCAGCTTGTCGTTTTTAAAAAGAAACTCCCTGAGCTTAACATGACCATTATCAGGACCAGAGATATAGGCGTATTTGAGACCATAGTGGACACAACTCCGGTTTTCAGATCTTTTCTATTGCAATTACTGATAAGAAGCAAGTGAGTTTTACAAATATATTATGATTTAGTAACCAACTTTATAGAAGATTGATAACAGATCCAGGAGTATTATATAAAACCTTTTCAAAATACCTATATACATCTTCAGTTAACAAGACAAAACAAATTCAGTGTAATTACACCATTCCATTTTCTTTTATTTCTGTATGTTTTGGGCTTTTTAGAAGCATTAAAAATTTAGCTTTTTATATTCATTTTTCAGTGAAAATACTGTTTTGCAACTTTTCATGAAAGAAACTGTTGAGATCTTGGATGAAGACATTCATGGGTCACACATGAAAGACATATGCTTAATGCTGATACAATGTATTGAGGTATTGTCATATTCGCGAATCAAAGAATTACCTGTCTTCCTTTGTATTTCTGCTGTTATTTTTGGAATGCGTACATTTCATGTCCGAAAAAGTGGCAAGACCTTAAAAGTTCTCAGGTCTAGATAACGTACTTAGATGAGCAATTTGTTTTTAAGTAAATATGGTGCACAAGGGCTGCATATTGGTCCTTTCTCTCAACCCAATGTTATTATCCTGCATGGAATGGGTTTGGATTTGCTTTACACCTTTCTCAAACGGAGGGAATGGGCTGTGTAGAGGCTTTTTACGAGCGAAATAGATGTGGGAATATGTTATTCTTTTATCAACAACAAAAAGTGAAAAATGTGTTGCCAAAATCATATATTGATAAATGTTATAATTTCATCTTTTTGCATGGAATATTACATCTTTATCATGATGTTATGCAAAAAAAAATTCACGTTTCAACGAAAAAAGTAGTTTTGAATGTGAATGCTTTTTTCCATTTTCTTTTCATTTTTTAATCACTATTATTGCATGTTGGAGAACTCGTGTTTAACATGCATATATTAAAAAAGTACATGAAATATTGATTGTAAAATCTGCAGATCATTTAAAAAACTTTAAAGTTTTCTTGTGTTTTAAGGTCAGACGACACGTTCCTCAAATATCTGTTTTGTATCTCTTCGTAGTGTATAAAAATATATTAATAATTATCATCATATTGTAAATTCTATACTGTTTTCAATTTGTTTTTTTTTTTTAAAATACCATTCAATATCGGATCGTAAATTGACCCGAACCACGTGTTCGACATAAAATGTAAACACGTAGTTGACTAGTAACGTCGCTATTCTTTCCACGATTGGTCAATTGTTTGTGGTCAGATCCGCTGAGCGCATTAAGGTCAGACGACACGTTCCTCAAATATCTGTTTTGTATCTCTTCGTAGTGTAAAAAAATTTATTAGTCATTATCAACATCTTGTAAATTCTATACTGTTTTCAATGTGTTTTTAAAAAGAAATACTCCAAAAATTATGATATTGGCAATTCCAAGTAATTTCCAGTAGGATTATATAGGAAACACCATCCTCTGGTGTCTTGCACAAATGGTACCTCAAGGTATCTCAATTTTTTGTGAATAAACTTGTTAAGGTGGCAAAACTTTAAGGGCAAATTTTGGGGGGGAAATTATATATTACTGAGGAACGTGTCGTCTGACCTTAATCTAAACAATAAAACTCTCTGGCTGAGCATTGTTTTCTAAGACGAGAGAGAGAGAGAGAGGGAGAGCTTAAAACGTTAAGCTGTGAAAATACAAAAGAGAACCCTTAAATAACCAGTCATCAATGTATCATTATAATATACTAAAGGAGATAAATACTAATTGCTTAAAGCTTGTTGACGACATTTTTTTTCCTGAAAAGATTCTATATTTTATCTATTAAAGGACTCGTTGATGGAAGAATCACTATCTCACAGTTTCCAATCTGAAATGGAGAGAGAAATTTGTTTCGCTAAGGAATCAATGTTGTTAGCAAAGGAACAGTTGCAAGCAGAAGGAACGACGGTTGACAAAATTAAATCAATTGCAAGAGCTCGTTTTGGTCTTCAAGTGACAGCAAAATATTTGTACGGTCGGTTAAATACAACATGGGAGTTTACAGAATCTGAACTGGCTATGTGTACTGACTTATTCCAAACTTCTGCCAGTTTGTGCGACTCACCTTTGGAGCATATCAGGTCAATTCGTATAAAGATATCACACATTTGTTAGAATAGTTTCATCCTGATATAAATTTGTAAAATATCCTAGAATCTATGTGCAAATTGAAGAAAAGGCAGTTTGAATCATCAAAATATGTTCAATTTTTTTAAAGATGATATTTGCTTCAAAGATACCGTTCGGTTTCTAATGGGAAAGTGTTTATCAATTTAGAATGTATTTGCTAAAGCACGTCTGCAGACGCTACGGTTTGGAGTTCTACAGAAATATACAATCCTCAGCTGAATCTTGGGTACTGCCATCTGAGGATGGGGATAATACAGAAAAACAAAGTGTAAGTATTTTCGGATTTATTTTGTTGTATCTGTTACCATATATCGTATTAAAGAAAATCTCTTAAAATATATTTTCGGTATTTTGTTTTGCTTTCTTTATTCATCAGAAGTTGTGATTCCTATGTGATTCTAATATACATGATATGTTTGTGTATTGCATGTCATTGCATTTGAACAGGCAGATCAGCATTGTCCAGATTACTGCCTCGTACTTGGAGAACAATACAGAAAAATTAAAGAGAAGATAAGTGAAATTCTGGTACCCACAGACATGTCAAGGAAATTAAAGGTAATTGTATACAAAGTAGGTTTTGCCCGTTTGCATGTAAATCTCTGTTTTAAAACAAGGTTTTAAGTCATCAGACACACATGTGGCACTTCGCTTTCTGTCGTGCGACGTCCAACGTCCGTCTTGTGTTAACATTTGAAAATTTTGCATCTTTCTCTGAACCTCCTGAACCAATTTCAAGCAATTTTTGCATAAAGCGCCAATGGGTAAAGGATAACACAGATTGTGTGCCCCTATATAGGAAATGCCCTATAGGACATGAGGGATGTGGCTTAAATCATCAAAATTAAGGCAATCTTTAAAAATCTTCTCATTTAATCCCGGTCATCAAGCAGTCAAACTGTTGGTATGATTGTAATAAGCATTAAGCCCTCTATGAAAACTGTGAAATTAATGACCCCTTTGTCAGGGGCTCTGTGATAATGGTCTGCAGAGCGGAGCTCTATTGATTTTATAGTGAAAATGGATAGATTTTTGAAAATCCTATTCTCTTCCTCTATAGCAGGCCCTGGTTCCAGAGTCGTAGCAAAAAAGGGGCTCAATAATTTCCATAAAATATAAAGGAAAAATAATTGTTTAAAAAAATCTTTCAGAACAGCATGGCCACAATTAGTTGAAATAGTTTTCAGAATTTCCCTCGTAGTTTAGATTCAACTTTGACAATAGGGAATAGGGTTGGTTCACAATAAGGAATCAAATATTTTAATGAAATATGTCAGATATATCCAATAATAGTCTTCTGAAAACAGCATATCCACAATAAGATTCTCTCTCTCTCTCTCTCTCTCTCTCTCTCTCTCTCTCTCTCTCTCCTCATTATAATTATCGGTTTCATTATCTAGGGCTTGTAATATCTTTTCTGGACACCCTACTGTTATACTTTTCTATGTATAATTTTATTATATCATATCTATTGTATATAACTTTTCATTTTATTTAATTAATTGAAGCTCAAAGACAAATCCCGAACAGTTCAAGTATTTTTCCTTCTGGGACTCTGTAAAGAATTGAAATCCCGATCATTGTTTCAAGAAGAAAATATTCAAACTAAAGAACAGGTGAATTTTTTTCAACAAGCGGTAAATTGAATCATATTTTTTTATTTTTATTTGAACGGAACTTAAAATTACGAAACATCATACTTCTTATAAGCCTTCTTTTTTGTATTTTGTAGTTAAAATGTAAAGTGCAGAAATTATTGAAAAACCAGAAACTTCAAATTGTGATGGTGAGATTTTATTTAATTTTATTTTGTATAACTTGAATAATTGAAAATCTATTTTTTACTATTACTAAATAACTAAATTCTAATAACTTAATTCTAAACAGGATTATCTGGAGGAATTATTTGACGATTCAGTTGGAAGATCGTGTGATCAGCTAAACCTCAGGCTCTGTGATAATATGCATGATGAAAGCATTATATTTCTCATCTTCCATTTGATGTTCGTTTTGAAAGTGACTGGAAATAAAGGACCTTTGCAACCACTACAGGCCCTAGCATTTGAACCAAATATCTTGGAGGTAATATTTACCCAGTTATTTGCTATTTTGGCTATGTTTTTATAGAATAAATAACATTCCCCTAGTTAAAAAATCTAGTTGATACTTAATCTGAGGAGGTGTTTTTTTTTTTTAAAAAATAATTATTGTTTTAATATTAATAAAATTTGAATGGTTTCCAAAATAATCTTTGAAATTGAGTTTTGGCATATTGATACATGGGTTTGAGTTATAAGTATTATTATATTTTGTCCTTTGTTCTGTTTAATGTGCATATATATAAATACATATATATATATATATATATATATATATATATATATATATATATATATATATATATATACTTGATATATTGATGTATCATGATTCATTGATTCATTTATACTTTTTTAATTGTATATAAATAAATTTTTAATAGCAGTCAAGCCGTACCATCAAAAGCGTTTCACTGGGTGAAATAAGCAGTTTCCCGTCATGGGAAACTATATGGAAACCACACGGAAACCTCATGTTTACATCATGTTTCCTAGTGGTTTCCGCAGCGGATGCCAGGTTATTCCGTCAAGTTTCCGTACCACGGAAACTACTACGCTCCGATTCCAAAAGGTATCCCGAACCACGGAAACCTCAGGAAACCTGAAGTTTCCCGAGCCTCCATGTAGTTTCCCATAATGGGAAACCTGAAGATTCCACTGGTTTCCATAATTAGGAAACTATGTGGAATCGGAGCGTAGTGGTTTCCATGGAATGGAAACTCGATGGAATCCTCAGATTTCCCATGAACGGAAACTAGAGGAAACCTCGTGATTCCTCAAGTTTCCAAGACTCAGGAAACTATATGGAATTGGAGCGTAGTGGTTTCCGTGTGATGGAAACTTGGTGGAATTATCTGGTGTCTCATAAAAGGAAATTACTGGGAAACTTCAAGATTCCCTTATTTTTCTGAGATAGGAAGCAATGTGTAATTGTGGTGTAATAGTTTCCATACCATGGAAACTACAGGGTAGGTTGAGCATTTCAATTTCGAAAAATGATTGACAAGCAACTGGAAGCTTAAGGATCCCTGTATTTTCCATGGTAAATCTTTCTTGTCTAGAATGTGAAAAGAGAACAGCAGGTTTAAATCAAAATAAATATTATTAATTTCCTTGGTAAACTGTGTTTTCTTTTCAAAATCTATCAAGAAAATGTATAAAAAGGAAAAAGCATTATCAAATCATATGTTTAATTATTCATTTGATGTGCAAAAACATTATTTGAAAATGATATCAAAATAAATAAAATCATATATCTTGGTACACAATGAAGTAGTCTTTCACATCTAAGTCCATTCATAAAAACTTCATTAAATACTCTATACTTCTTTCAACATCAGCTTCCTTTGTATTTTCTTCACATCATCTGCGATCTACAATACATTTTCATATAAAATTATTATTTGACGTAAGAATTGTATGCTTGAATATTATTTAGAAATCTTACAAGATCACTCAATGTTCTTTAATGTACCAATATCAGTGATTATAATTAGTTTCAGTCTTTAAATTTAATGACATGAAATCCGCATAATGAACATTACATATTAAGGTTTTAAGCCAGAATAATATTAAAGCAGGTATGATTGAGAATATGACCATCTCATACATGTAGAACACTGCTTATAATTGAGTGAATTGGAGAAATGTGCTCTGGACAAGGATATTACAAATCTTTCTTTTTTTTCATATTGACATTTGACTTAGAAATGTTGTTAAAGATCACTAAAAACCCTTCATCCCATGGCACACAAGCCAGATCATACCAAGGGAGAAAAATTATGCTCTGGACAAGGACTTTAAATAAAGATATATAGTGTGTTTTGATACTGACCTTTGACCTTGATAATTGGTCCAAGGTCACTTTTTACCCTCCATCCACAGGCACTCTATGAGTTAAATTTGAGTGAGATTGGGCTAAGAGGAGAAAAAATATACTCAGGACAAGTGATATCAGATGGACAGACAGATCATCTCATGGCATCTGCAGAACAGGACCCTAAAAAACAATGCACATACATGTTAAGCTATATCCATACAAGTCAATATGAATTCATCATATGTTGCATTGGATACACATGTTTTAATCATGTTTAATACCTTATGAATAATATATAAAATGTTGCATGTACACTCAGTTTACATACAAATAATCTAAATTTCATAAAAAACGACCAACATATCAGCCATTCAAGATTTAGCTAATCAACATTCAATACAAGTTCTATATGCTACATCATATGTACAGACACATACTAGTATTATTTACCTACATTCTAAATCTTGTTTTATGTCATTTAAAAATTAAGGCGATAGCCATTACCGGTAACCAATTTTTAACCCAAATTTACATACATGCATTTTGTAATGTTTGTTCAAAACTTCTCATTTATAAATATTACCTTATAGTATATCAAGTTAACATATACCTACAGTTAAAGCTTCAAAGTGTTTCATTGAATATTTTAGAAATTACAGTCATCAAAATACTGACCAGCCAGAAAGCAGTAAATTTTTATTTTTCATTATTGTCTTGTTTCATTTAACATATTTCAATGTTAGAAAGTTTTAGTAAGTTATAATATTTACTACTTTAGCATAGCCATATAGCTGAACTTTGGCATCTCTAATACCATAGATATGTCGAAGTAATTTGGAAGTATTCTTTAAATATTTTACTCCTGATATCTCGAATCCTCAAATACATGTACCACAAAATAATTTTAATTGAACTTTGAACCTTGACAAAAGGACTCTTAAACAAATATTCATTATTCTTAAAATAAAGTCTACAGGATACAAAATTATAAGTTGCTCAACAATGATCATGTCAATAATATCTGAAAGAGTTGATCATTTCCTCTTGGGGTGAAAGGGGGGGGGGGGAGGGGGCTTCCTCTGTACAATTTAAAATATCCTTACTTTGTGTCAACCTTGGTTAAAATTAATGGTTCTTGAGGAGAGGTTGAAAATGTGAAAAGCTCACTGATGGATCGACAGTTTGATGGACAAAAGACAAAACAAAAGGTGATCAGAAAAGTTCACTCGAGTTTTAAGCTCGGGTGAACTAAAATCCTCACTGCATGGTGTATATTATGCTAGATATCATCCAGACAGAAAATTTTATAGAGAAGTGAAAAAGACTCCAAGCCATACAATATCATAAGGCCAAACAAAAAAATAAGTTTGTTTACTGTTACATGCTGAAATAAAATAGGGTTGATAGGTAGGATTTTTTTTTTATTTTATTGAATTTTTTTATACACAAATTCACATGAATTGGTTGAAATACAAAACAGCTTTACTTCTGTTTGGGCTTGCCATATAGGCGATAGACAATATCTTTCTTGCCAACTGCCTTACAGCTACCACACAATGAAAAAAACTTTCTTGTATTCCTTCTTTAACTCCATGTTGCACTAACTATTTCTAGTACTTTCGATTCAAACGCTTGACTGATTAAGATGCATGTAAAAGTTAAACTGACGATTGAGTGACTTATGGATTTTTACAATGAAAAAAAATTTGGGTTGGCTATTAGATATTGGGGGGGGGGGGGGGGACCGTAAACAAACATTTTTTTCTTATTATGCCTAACCTGTTGTAGTTTGCAGCTGGTAGTTCAACATTCCAATTAAAATTGGAATCAAGTTCTTTTTATTTTAATGCAATTGTCATACATGCCTATTTATGATTGAATTAATTACCACTTACCACATGATCACATCTTGATTCATCATACATCTTTAGTTACTGGTTCTCCTTTAATGTCAATTTTCTTCTCTCTGAAAGAATATATTATGTACAATTACTACACTGTATTGCATTCTGATTTCACTTATAAGACCAACAATAAACAAGAGTTCTAGGGCCACATTGCTCACCTGAGCACTTTGGGTAGGAAAAAACATAAATCAGTTCAGTATTTAAAAGTTTATATATAAAAGTGGTTCAGAGGGAAGGGGGGGGGGGGGGGGGTATGAATTCTATACTTTCGAAGGATGCTTTTGAATTAATATGATACATATTAGCATTGCTGTTCTTAAGAAGAAAATTTTTATTGATGTATTCCTTTTCTTCCTTTTTACAGTGAAGATGATGAAGGAGTAGATCTTATATTTGGGGTGGGGGGTAGGGGTGGGTGGGGGGGTGTTACAGAGACACTAACGAACAAGCACAGACATATAAACATTGCCTGAGTTTTTCAATTGCATGGTCTTCGAAAACGTATTGATGGTATAAGTATCAAAAGTTTTAATTATAACCAGGGGCATAAATTTGAGATAATTGTAAAAGTGCTTTCTCTGTTATGTCCTTTCTAAACTCCCCCCCCCTTTTTCTACACTGCATTTTTCGCTGATTTTCCTTCATTGTTTACTTCTCCATGTGCTCCAGTGCTAAAAATAGCGCCACGCGACGTTTCATAAAACGGGAGGTAACTCTATAACCTATACTTGGTGATTGGAGTTCGTGTCCATTTTGTCAGAAAGATAACAAATTAATATTTAAAAAACGGAGCAAGAGGACTTTGAAAATTAAATACAAGGGGATAGGAAATTACATGTGTACAGGAAAATTAACTCTAAAGATATTGATAATCAGCTGATTGACTCTCAATTGTCACACTTCACGGTATACAGGTACATTGCCGATCAACGACTGTGTTTGTTTAGCACATGCATGCAGTCCTCTTTCTCTCGAGGTGCATGCCAGTCGTAGTATAAACACAATTAACTACTCAGGTCATTAAAAATAAAGTGTCAATACTGAATGCAAGAAAAATTTAATCATGGCGGTCGTTGATTTTAACCATGGCGCAGCTTGTTTAACCATGGCGCACATAAATTTAACCATGGCGGGCCGCCATGGTAAAACCCCTTGTGGAGAACAAAAATTTCAAACAAATGAGGATTCACTTATTTTTACAATTAGACTTCTATGATGTTGTGACCACCATCAATAACTGATGATTGTTACTCAGAT